CCCTGTGGTCGTATGTGCTAAGTTATTCTAAGCACTGGAATAAGTGAATCGAACTTTGTAATAAATGTTCATGTTGGTTGTCGTCGGCGATGTCGCAAAGAAATATCCTGGACGTTAACTACATTCGTCATAATAAGTCTATTAGCACCCGCTCATCAGTCTCGGGACAAAGGAACAATCGATCCAAGACACCGATGTTCAATCGACCATCTGCCGCATGGCCTAATCTAGGTCGTTTGGCAAGGCTTCCTCCCCAGGTCGCGGGCCAGTACGATCGCCATGTCCCGCGGGGAGTAATCCTCATTCGTCGCAAGTAATCATGTGTGGAACTTTCTAGATCCTGCAATCCCATATCCCACTCTCCGGTGTTCTCACTGCCTATATTTTCCGGACTCTCGTGGCCACCTCGTTGCCTCCCCACAATCACCGGTTGAATCCTGCATTCGGGCGCTGAACGGTCGCAGTACCCCACTGGATCGCACATCGAATCCGGATCGGGCCAGTTCTGCAGTATGAGAGCCTGAATCACACTTGGAGGGCGGAGAAAGACTTTACTCGTGCGGAATTCCTGTAGTCGTGGAGTGAGAGGGATCGTCTCGAAGATCTTACGGGCCAGAAACTCCCACACGAAGAGACTCACTAGCAGAATATCTAGTTTCTCGCGTAGGGAAAGGTTATTTTGACCGCACCACTGTGCATAGATGATTTCATGCCATTCATTTCGTGACTCCGGGGTGGGATATACCGTGGCCTTTGCAAGGGCCAGGCATTCGATGGAGAGCCAGTGGGAGGTCAATGCCTGGTAGAATCGGTGGTAGAGGATGCGTTTTTGATTAGAGGTGTCGTGGATGGTTCGGCCAGAGAGCTGGGGAAGCGGGTCGTTGCCGAGAAGTGTAGGGGTTTGACTGTGCCACCAGGGGGTCCAGTTGTTCATGTATATGTCGTGGATGGCTGTGTCACTGTACAGAGAAAAAAGAGATCGCATACCGTGCCAGCGGCAGACAATGCCCCATACTTGTTCGTCGGATAATTGCTGTGGGTGGGCTGCGAAAAGTGCTTGGTGGAGGACCTCGGGACCAGGTTTGGAAGCTGTCTGTGCATGTCCCGTGGTGGAATTTGGCGACAAGCAATATGCTGGATTGCAGGATTGAACGATAGTCAGCTTGGTGTCATACTGGTGTTGATCTTGGCTCTGCTATGCAAAGGTTAGCTAGACAGGTGGATCTTCCGGGTGGGCGATATTTACAATGATGCAACGGAAGATGTTTACCCGTGACAATGGACTGTCGAAGATGGTATATAGCCGTTTGCATGTTCTGGCAAGGTGCAGAGCGTCATCGATATCGTTGAGACATTGATAAATGAGGAGAAGAACCTCCACTGGAAGGCTGAGGATTGACATCGCAGTTCTACGACCTCGGGATTCGTATATGCTAGGCTTTTGCACGTGGTCTTCTTTGGGATGTAGGGTATGTTTATCATGTGATGTCAAGGGGCGGGTGAGTATGCTCTGATCAACTACAAGGAACTGTTCGTTGGATACAACCTCGAGTGCAGAATGAGCTAGATACAAGTCAGAGAGTGAAGCCTTAGTTTAAGAGCGGTACCACCACCAGCTCGCGGTCACGGCAGCTACAGGGAAGACGATCCATGTCAGCCATGGCTTGAGCACCCCAACCAGCCGCATCCAAAAAATGATATAATGGAACTTTGTAATGAAATCCCCTTCATTAACATGGGGGGAAGGATGGTTCGGTTTCTCCTTTTCCTTTCTGAGAAACTGGCAGAGGGGCTCCCAACCATCTTGGACCTTAAATTCCAGCACCTCGCGCCCTCGCTTCTGTGCGGCGGTACGTACAAGGTCATAATGGGCAGCGAAGCCATGTTGTAGACGACTACTGTCTTGCCACGTTCCTCCAGTCCACACGGACAGTGCAGATCGTAGAAGTGGGATGTAAAGGCCAATGTAAGTCTGGTGGAACCTCTGTTAGTAGCAGGAGATTAAATGAGGGGCGGAGGCTGGTACAGGATCAATGAACTCCAACAGGCTCCACCGCTTCCAGCCCAGAATGGCGTAGAAGGTGCGCTGCATGGAGGCCAACCAGGGCTCAACGGGGCGGGTGGTCAGCACTATGCGTGCGTCGGGATAGGCATCCATCAGCTCCTCAACAAAGAGAATGCAGGGAATATCAGTAATAGCCTGGAACTAGTGTCAGCCCGCCCATGTTGATTGACCAGCCGAGGTAAGCATTCACATCGTAACGCCAAAGCATCTGGTCAAAGTCGGCACCTGCGAATTTGTGACCGTTCCCATTGAACTTCGCATCTATGGCGCGATTCCAAAGACGCAATGAATCATTCTGCTGGTCGAGGTTACATTCGGCCATATGGTAGCAGGTGTATCCTAGTTCCTTTAAGGCGACATAAAGAGCTTCGTAGACTAGTCAGCCATGAATCATGCCATCATTGTAATGATTTCCGTACACATGGTCCCAGTGCGGGACATGCCTAACGCCAGGACTTTCATTTTCTTCTCACGGTGGGCCGGAGGCTCCATCCGTGGATAGGGCACGGTGGGAAAAGGGATATTTTCCATCGTAAAGGTCAAATCGCTAGAATTGAGCCGGGACGGTCAATATGGTAACGAAGTGGATTAAGGGGACTAATATACCTTAAAGGACTTATAGTTCGCACATCCAGGCGGCGAAGCGGCTGATCATCTGGCCAGTAAATCCGTTGGACCATTTGTTGCTACCTCAGAAGGAAAAGTATTGTGTAGCAGGGAGCGGTACGTTAAAGGATTGGCGCATAAAATAGCCATCAACAGCTGTGCTGTCAGCCACTCACTGTTGGTGTAGATCTCCACTGTGGAATGGTTAATGCATGTATCCCTGTTATAGTTGGGGTTACCTACCAGGCGACGCGGCGGGATTGGAGATGATGACAATCCGAATCAAACTAATCACAGCCACCCTACAGCCTGTCCATCAGGCACAATGCCAAGCCCAGTGGGAAAGAATTCTTACAGTCCCCCAGATAAATATTAGACAGGGGCAAACCTTTGGTTTTCGGTCTAAATGTAACGGTTGGATAACACGGACCGACATCAGCGCAATCACTAAATCCTGGAAGAAAGTCTTTGTATGTTAACTCCAATGATACAGGAACGTTGGTATTTCTCCATTCTGAGTATATTTATTCATAGTTATATGCGATTGAATAACTGGGTATCTTCGTTATGAGAATTTTCTGGTAGAGTGAGTACTTAGGGTACGCATGCGCACCTGATTCGACCTCACCCAGGCCCTTAGAATTGACGACCCACAACACTACCCACGGATCGACAATTCGAATCCCCCACCTCTTTGTTTTTACTGATCATCATCCATCAATTAATCTATATTGCCTTTTCAGTCATACCTACAGCAAAAGAAAAGTCCATATCCTTGGGTCTTTCCCGTTACCAAGTCACAACCTCACCCACATAATCCCCATGTCCGCCTCGCAGAACCCGATTCCGACTCGCGACCAGCTCACGGGGCTAGCGCGAAGCTATTTCAAGGCAGTGGATGCCAAGGACCTCGACGCTGTGTTGTCGTACTTCGCCCCGGACGCGACATTCACCATCGAGACTGCTCATGTCACAGCCACGGGCCCCGACGAGATCCGCCGCGTGTTCACCGACTTCCTGAATAACACCAAGCACATGCGACATGACATAACAAGTCTTATGGCCGATGAAACAAATGGAAAGGTCGCAACGGAACATCATTATACTGCCGAGCAGCTGGATGGGTCAAAAAATGATATTAACAACTGTAACTTCTTTGATGTTGGCGCGGATGGAAAATTCACACGAGTGGTTGTTTTTATGGCAGGCGCGAGCCCGATGAAATAAGGAGAGGCACCAAATTGGACACACATATAGCGTGGAACCATGCAGCAAAGGCTTTGAAGCCCGATATGTGTTGGCTCTCAATATTGCAGCTTCCTTATCGATCATGATAGGTTATAAAGAATAGGGTGTGAAATGTTATCCTGCGAGGTTGTATAACCTGTGGTTCTTATATTCATTCGGCTCCATACTGGTATATCAATCATCATTGCTGGGATAATCTTACATATACTATTCAAGCTGTCTTTTAATCCGATGTTAGGGCGGATGCGGTTGTCCTTCTGAATACGGGTGTTATACAGTCAAGGTCATCCCAGCAAGTAACAATGATGATCTTTTCTATCAACAAAAATGAGTCCAAATTCATACTTCGCCCTCACAGACCTTTGCCATTGTAAGATCCAATATTCGGCCGTTCCTCAGACGATACTTCGTTATTCCAGAAGTCTCTCCCACCATTATCAGACACGACAACCCCTTTCAGCAGAGCAGGGCTCCCCGATCGCAATTTATACCCATCCACCGAGTCGATGGTGTCTTTTCCGGTCCCCGGATCCATAAATTGTGCCTCTTGAGCAATGCCCGCTGCATCATCCGGCTGTGGCACAGTCTGGAAAAGGTTCCCATGCCACTCAATTGAATCACCCGTGGGCAAGGTTGAATCCTTAGTGCCAACCCAGATATTGTTCGACAAGTTCGTCTTCGGCGGGACGGCAATCTCAAATTTCTTATCCGGACAATAGACAACGTTGTTATAGAAGTCCATTTCCACATTGTCTCCGTTGCTATACATGCGGCAATCGTTTTGGAAAATATTGTAGCGCACGATTTGTCTCGCTCCGCCAGGGGTACCGCAGCCATCGCAATTCAGGAATATCCCTCCAGCGTTATCATGGCTGTAGTTATACTCGACGGTACAGGTACCCTCATTTCCCCAATCACAATCAAAGGCCTCACTGTCTATCTGCGACATGAGAGAGTCGTGCACGGCATTGAATCGCATGACCGCATCGCGACAGCCCAGAACCCAGATTCCGGCAAAATTGCCCCCGGTCCAAGGATACTCTCCATGTCCGAGGAATCCGCAAAGATTGCTTTCAATGAGCGGTGAAGCGCCGTAGGATACCACGATTCCATCTCCGCCGACGTAGGAGATGTTGTTGGCGAACACGTGTACTCCTTCGCCGCGATTGTCCATCTGGCCTACACGGACCTTGATGCCGCCGCCCCCGCAGTCATAGACTGTGTTGTTGAATATCTGGACGTCATCGTACCGGCTTTTATGCTCGGTACCGTTAACGAGGATTCCGCCCGAGGCGATGAATGCATCGGATTGTGTGGCCTTGTTGGTCTCACCGGCGACGTTGTAGACTGTAACGTCGTGAATGGATAGACCCCGGTGCACGGTTCCGTCGGACGACGTTGCGAGGATACCGCGGCGCCAGGCGATGTCAGCGGCCGGATTGATCACGGCTATGTTGGAGACATCCCAATAGTCCTGGTTGGTAAGGCTCACTGCTTCTGCGGCTCCGGACCCATTGATGATAGGCAAGGGGCCGTCACCATAGCTAGTGAGGATGATGGGCTGATCTTGTGTACCGCTACCCTGTGGTGAAAGCGTGCCAGAGCATGTGGTGTCTGACTTGATATTCAAGCTGTCTCCCGCGCTTAGCACAGCTTGGTTGGCTTCTTTAATTGAGCTGAATGGGTTTGTTTTGCTGCCATCGCCGCCGCTGTTGGAGGAGCTGCAATCGAGATATAGATCCTTTGCGGAGGAAAGTTGCAAGAGGTATGCGACAAGCGCAATGACGCTACTCCGTCGCAGAGCACCAATGGCGATCATTTTCACAAAAGAGAGACTGTGAGCTGTGTATTGAGCTCTCTTAGACATGCCGCATGCAAGGAGTCATTGTTTATATTCATGTCCCCTGCATTGCAGATCCTATCTCAATGAAGAAGCTCTAGCATAGAAATGCAACGTTAGCGCTCACCCCGCTTTCACGATTAAGTGCAACTGAAGCCAAACCTCGCTCGGGGGGATTCTTCGGCCGGTGCAGTTGTGAATTCCTCACGATCGGTGGAATGCTCGTGCCGCGTCTCCGATACGCGACCTGAAACGAGGATCCGCAGCAGAAGGTCCTCCTTGACTGAAGCAAGATAAAAGTGGAGTTATTCTATAGAACAATGTCATTTATAAAGAGCAGCATATTGGAGCACCAGGCACCACCTGGAGATATCTCTTACTAACCTCACATCATGATATCCTGGAAAGCTCTTCCCTTAGTTCTCGCCGCTATAGTCCAGTCAGGGTATGGACAAGACATACCAACGACTGACTTAGCGCCGGCGAAATGGGTCCATCCTGGAGCAATGATCAGTCAATCCCAACTGGACTTCGTCAAATCCAAAGTGAACAAGCGCGAGCAACCCTGGGCGGAGGCCTACGAGGCGCTTATGAACGACGAATTTATCAACAACCCCCAGGACCCATCGCCGCCGGTGATTGTCGAGTGCGGCCCTTACTCGGACCCAGATGTTGGATGCAAGGCGGAACGCGACGATTCCCTGGCAGCGTATGCCAATGCTCTGGCTTGGGCGATCAATGGCACCGAGGCGTACGCTCGCCAGGCGATCCGGATCATGGACAAGTACGCGTCCACAATCCAAGGCCATAACAACTCCAATGCACCCTTGCAATCAGGCTGGGTGGGCTCGGTGTGGGCACGAGCGGGTGAAATTATTCGCTATACAAACGCTGGCTGGTCGGAAGATGGTATCCAGCAGTTCGGGGATATGTTGCGTAATGTGTATATGCCACTAACGGTGAACGGAACGGCGAAAAATGTTGCGAACTGGGAGCTAGGTATGTTATCAATCCGTAGGATAGACGGAAGCACGAAGTACTGAGCTAACCCCGTCCTGCTGTTTAGCTATGACCGAAGCGGCTATCATGATGGCCGTATTCCTCGAAGACGCTGACTCGTATAACACCGCAATGGGGTGGTTCTTGAAACGAATTCCGGCCACAGTATACCTGAAGAGTGATGGAGAGTATCCGGTCGCAGCTCGCGGCCAAAGCTCCTCCCCGGACGCAATCATTGCCTGGTGGTTTAATCAAACTACGTTCCAGGAGGATGGTCAGGCACAAGAGACATGCCGAGATATGGAGCACACTGGTTACTCTTTTGCATCCATGGCTCATGTGGCAGAGACCAGCCGCATTCAAGGGACTGACCTTTACGAAACGGACTTGGGAACGCGACTTCGAGCTGCCTTAGAGTTCCATTCTCAGTTTGACAATGGGAAAGAACCTGAATCCTGGCTCTGTGGTGGAAAGCTGAACTTACACTTGGGTAACATTACCGAAGTTGGCTTTAATGCGCTGTCGTTCAGAATGGGATTAGATATGCCGGAGACAGAGAACCTCACTCAGAGACAACGACCAGCTAGGCAGAATGGCCTCTTTACAGCATATGAGACGTTGACACATGCGCAAAATGATGCTTGAGAGTATTAGTACGTTTATAAAGGAAACAAGCCGTTCGATCGAAGCGAGGGAATGCTGGACGAGCACTCAATTTGTTAGGTGATACATATACATAGGGTGGTTCATAACTAGAATCACAATTCAGAAAATAAGTTTTTTAAATTTTAATTATAAATCAAAAGGTAAACAAAACTATTTCTCTATAATTTTACTAGTTTAATATTAACAGTAACTTTATATTCATAGTAGTTTAATAATAACTCCTATTCTACTGGTCTCAGACTTGACAACAAAGCCCCAGGCGTAACACATATCTAATCCGGCCAATAATCTCCTTTTCTAGGCAGAGTATTCATATACCGAGCTCATCCAATCTACTGTCGTCGAGAAGGATATCGAGTGGGAGGCGTTCACCTCCCAATCTGGTCCCAACGAATTTCCATGAGATACAGTTCATTATAATAAGAATTACACTAATATCGCAACTTACAAGTCAGATACATAGACTGTACAGCCAACCTCCGCCAGATAATCCACTAGGAGTCGCGTATTGGGAAAGACCCACCCATGGAGATCGCGGAGCAGTCCGATTGCGACGCTTGAATTTGTTCCTACCGTGTAGCAACTCATACCATCCAGGGTGGTTTCTCGTCTAGCAGGCTTGCTATTCTAGTAGAAGCTTTTTTAGTAGCAGTCACCCATTTTGTCTTCAGTGATACTTTTGACAGGGTGGCAACGGATCTTTTAATTAATTCTCAGTAAACTGGTGTAAAAAATGAAAGACAGGGAATTATCGTTCAATAAAAAGCTTATTCTTGCCTAATATTATGTTCTCCTTTTGTTGCTAAATATATAGCCTCCACGAGTGCGAAGGCGGCCCTTTTCACGGCTTGGACGTCACGGCTGCGTCCCAAAAGATGCCAACCCTGCATCCTGAATTGGTATCAGATCTGCCGTCGGTGAGGTTGAACCCTGACCCTCTTGAGGTACGGGTAGAGAGGTTCCTGGTCTTGGACACGCGGGTCAGGTGACTCGTGAGTGCCATGTCTACGTCAAACTGGTCTCGTACAATAATTACTTGCCCCCTCTCAGGGGGCCACATTGGATTTCCAGAAGACTAGGGATCTTAATGGATATGATGACAGGACCCTAGCCCGTTACAACATGAGGTATCCTGCTCTGCCACCTATTCAATTTCGTATTGCCGAAGTCAAATCCAAATCCCTGCGCGGTATCTGTTGTAGTCTTTCAGGCGCTTCACGATCTACACGATATGCCTTGCCCTTGGAGGAAGGTCCCATATTCGTCGAATTCACCGCTGGAGAACCCCCAGACATTGCCGGAGCCTAAGCTTCCTTCCACCTAATACTCATCAACTCAATGCGCATCAGACTATATTTAGCCACGTACCTCGTCAAAGGACATATCGCATGAATATACGTGATAATCACGGGACCAAGTATTGATAAAACCTCTGTAGTCTGCCTGAAGTCTGTTCCTTCTGCCATAACCGTAGGGATCTCCTCCATCCCCATAGCACCAATATAGTTTCTTATCGGATAATATCAAGATTGTCCACTTTCCCATGGGCTCATTATTCCATCCCATGTTCGGACCACTGTCCTCCCAGTATCGTTTGGGGTTTGATTCAAATTTCATGTCGCCAAAAATATATTGTGGCGTGAACCTGCTGGCACAATTGCTTTGGTGTAAGTGAAATGTCGTAAATGAGAGAATGTTAGATGAAAGAAATTAATTCTAGCAAGAAAGGCTCTAAATTTATAAGTTCTTGTACGAGAGGGGGAGACACATCATTGCTGGAATTGAATAACTTATGGGTCTATAGTACGAAGGATCTATCTGGGTAGAGCCAATGGTGCTCATCGCCTGCGGAAAGATCGTCCTTCAGCTCGCCAACGTTTAACTACTACATTGCCGATCTCCACAGGCCGCCAGAATAATGGAACCGGCCCATACCATTTTTTTTTTACCGAAGTCACAAAAGTTATTGTCTAAAAGCCAGGAGTCCTGTAAATCTTCTAGATATCTTGACTCTCTGCTTAAATACGCTCCATCCTCTTTACTGTGGATATTATTATAACAGTAGAATAACACGCTCGAACCAATATTCTGCTCATGGCACTAATACAGCCAAAAAAAAAAAAAAGGATTTCCTGTTCCATCGGGATTTGATGCGGTGCTGTTCCGAGAAGTACAGGCTAATAAAAGTTAATAGAGTAATTCTCACCCAATTGGATGCGGTGGAAAGAGAGATCGATCAGAGATCTGCATGCTTACGATGGTCGGCGGATCGATAGCGGTTAATAGGATTCGTTCCCATTGCTTTTGCCCTATCATAGAGTGTATTGTTCTTGGATCGTGTCATCTGCCACTGGATAGACTCAGTGGGCTTCCTGCAGTGACCCTCTTATTCTCGGTACCATTGATCTTGCAGCGATCTCCTCTTCTCCTTCCAGTTGCAGTGCTAGTGCGGGGCACTTCTGAGAGCGACCTAAATCATGTATTCTTACTACTTGATTATAATATCGAGAAACATTTAGAGAGTGTTCGGCCGAAGGATTAAAACTTCTTTCGATGGTGACGATCGTAGATGTTGGGCCCATCAGCTTATAGGAAGATTCTCGCTTACTCCACTGTGGTCCATTCTATGTGGTCAAGTTAGTATACGTGTCTGGATGCGGATATCAAGCTAACTCGTAAATTAAGTCCTCATCGTACATACAGCGAAGAACAACCTCCCCAATCTAGCACCCACTAACCAGATTGCCGCAGAGGATCTTCTTCCTTTTTGTGGGGCAGCACAACTTACGTGCGTCTATCAAATCTTAGGCTAGAGCAGCTTTGCATAAATAGCAGACGCAAGGCCGGTTAAATCACATACTCTGAAGTCTTAAATCTAAAGTACCCTTGTCCCAGCAGATCGAGTTCTATAACCTCTAATTACTTGTTCTTTATCCCCTTGCTCTCCGACAAATGGCGGTGGTTCACACAGCACCGCTCAGTTCGCTATGCGTTATCTCAGCATTCTCACACCCTCTTTACAAGGAATAAATGGTATTTCATATATAAATAGATATCCTGGCTTCGTAAGTATACCTCGCGCTTGATGCCACGATCGTGCTGTAGATTTATGACTGTGTGCCTTCTCCATATATTGTGCCGGTACCCACAATATTTCTGTGATATTGCTCAGCAAGGGTGGCATGCGAAATAAAACCAAGAAGGTCAAGGTTAAAATTACAGTTTTTGTTGTTTTGGGAATAAAAATGTCGGACAAGCGCAAAGGTCGTAAAACGTTTGGTTTCATAAGTGATGCATAAAAAGGTAGTTATGTATAAGATATCTGATATCTAGTACTGTATTGCAATTCGATCTAAGTATCAAAGCAACCCCATGTCTAAAAGGCGATTCCCGAGCTCAAGAAAGTAGTAATCCGCATACACCAAGCCATGATCCCAAGAACGATCAGGGTGGTTGCCATTAAAATTGGCTGTTGACTTCTCAAGTATTGCTTCAAAGCGATGGCCCTTGGTAGCCTCGTATGATTGAATTTTCGTCACCCCATCCTGCTCACAACGCCTCAGCCGCATCTCATCTCGATTATATGCGAGTTCCACAGTATCCTTTGCGATATTCAGCGCATATGTTAAGTACCGTTTTGCCTCCACTAGTTCCCCAATCCCTGCTAGTTGTCCATACAATATCAGCATCCCATTGGCAGCGATTAATCCAGCGGAAACATCCCGCAATGGGCCCTGATCACCGTTGGTGCCTGTATGAGTGATCGGCGCGTCAAAGTCCCATAACGGAACGTAACGTCCCCGACCTTCCTGTTCCACAACTGGTGGAGAGGATTCCAGGCGCTGTATGAAGTAGTCAGCAAGCCCCTTAGCAGCGTCAAGAAACTCGACGTTCTTAGTCCAAGTATACGTTTGAGCGTATCCTAAGATCGCCCACGCTTGACCACGGGCCCATGTCGAGGTGTCGGAGTAGCCTTGTGCGGTGAGCTTTTGCTTGACATTTCCTTCCTTCGATGGAGCGAAGTTTACGACATGATATGTAGAGTAACGCTTTTCACCGCTTGGCCCGGACTCGAGTCGGAGATGAGTCGATAGTAGGGTAGTAGCATGGGTGGATGCTATAGATAGTAGGCGTTCAGAATGGAGATAGTTTCCGGCGTAAAACAATAGATCAAGATCTAGTAACGTGTTAGTCCTGCTGTTCTATCGTTACATGAGAATAGCAATTCGCCTTACTGCACAGACTATCTATGATCACCAGGAAGTCATCATCCATGCTTTTGATGTCATGGTGGACATTAGTGAACCGATCCCAACTTCGAATCGCCCCGACACGCTCGTCAAATCTAGTAGCAAGGCTTTCGGCCGCGGTAAGAATAGAGTCCAAACTTCGTTTGTTTCCGAAGAGCTCCCAGTCTCTTTGCAGGGCAGGTTGGATAATAAATCCGATATCATGGGTGTCCTGTCGAAGGGACATGGCATGCAATGGCTCTGACCATTTCCGACACAGATCGGTAAGTTGAGAAATGAGGATATCATGATTCCGGATTCCTCTTGAATGTTCACTAGGTGCTATATGTGGACCCTCTGGGAGGCTTTGCAAGCTTGCACCAGGATACTTCCTCATACGTTCAAGCAGGCAATACAGGCTACCGGGGAAAAAGCCACAAGTCCAGAATTCGGCGTCTCTGCATCGGTACACCCCTCGGTCAGTACCTGTTTGCGGTACTGTTTCTGGAAATCTGGTAGGAGGATCCTTGAAAAAGGTTAAACGTAAGCGGTTTATGCGATAGTCAACGGTGATCACCTGCTTACATTGTTCTCGAGGAGTGTCTTGGCCACACTGATGACCTTTGCAAGATTATTTTCGTGGAACAGACAAGCGAGCCGAGTTTTCAGATCGTTGTTGCTGGCTTCTTTTACAGGTGGTGCCTTGGCAACTGCCTTGTGTGTCCGTCCATTATCCATGATGGGCGACGTACTGAGGACGTGAGGCGCCATAGTGAAAAGAAAAAAAAAATGCGCTGGCCTTTTCGTAAATTGCTAGCTCAAGATAATTTGGTAAAGTCGAACAATCATCCGGTTGGCTAAACTTTTTAAGTGGGAGAGCTGTATAGGCAGCGTGCAGCTCGGGTGGATCCATCGCCCGAGCCCCGAGGATCTTCATCCCTTCACAAGCTACATGATTTCTGCCCTGATGCGGAAATTGTGGAGTGGATATACACGCCTGCTAGGTAGTATGGACACTGCTGATAATTCGAAAATGCGTTACTGAGTCAAGAGAACATCTTCCACTGTCCTATGCCACTTATCATCCACGATGCTCTATCGATACTAATGAGTGAACGAGTCCTGAAAGCTGATAATTCGGTCCATGTCCAGATATTGAGGGTCCAGAAGGAAGTTAGACAACGCTGCAAAGCTGTCTGAGCCATCGAGTGGTGAGGCTGCACTGGCTGAAGGGAATAGGCCATCCATTGGGCCAGTCTGACTGGGATATGCATCCCGAGCACGCAGCGTATTCATACGTTGCTGGTTTGATATCTGATTCCCATTCCACTGGCCCATATCTCTAATTGTCGCGTCTGACGCTACCGGAGGACCAGAAGGAGTCACGTTCACGGATGGTGCTACAACCGGCTGCGACGCGTGGTCATGATCGCTACATTGATCAGACCTGTGCGCGCAAGGACTACTGTTCATATAATGGGAACGCTGGCCATTCACCGGTATGATGCTATGTCGCTGTTGGGCCCGTCGCTCCCTGACCCACTGACTCTCACCTAAGCTAGCCGGTGGACTACGTATCCCAAGGGCAAAGCTTACTTCAATAGCATAGCCCAAGGCGTCCAATTCGAAAGGTTCAACGTACTTGCACCGCTCCTGCAGCTTTTGAAGCTGAGAAAGAAGGCCACTGGCAAAGTTATCGGTTTTCAGTGTCAATCGTAAGTTTGGGTTCGATGACACCCATCGGGCTGACATTTGCTGAAGACTCCATAGAAGAACGCTGTATCCCTCGGGAAGCTCAGTGCGGTGCAGGTGTGAATGTACTAGGGTTTATGATTTAGTGAGGTTGACCAAAGGAAGTGCGATTGGGACTTACCAAGCATTACACGGGCGCTGACGAAAGCGCAAAACACGAACTGAGCATTCACAAGCCCCACAAAGGGTGTGTATTGTAGATACTTTTGAACTATATTGGCTGTTTCCGACGCGGCTAGCTGGCACGTCTCAGCACTCGAGATACTTGCTTGTTTCAGCTTATCCACGAGGTTGGCCCGTGGATAGGCAATGCACTGATGTAAAAGAATCATTGACGTGTTGTGGGTGATGTGAGCCAGGGTTAAGTTGGGATCCATATGCACGAATGCAGGCTCCTTGGAAATGTTAGAGTCTTTCCACCGCCGAGGGAGGAACATCTTCCAGCTAGACATGGCACAGAGTGTTAGTAAGAGCAACAAAAGTACTACACGGCAAGAATGCGCACTGGATAAGCTGGAGGTCCAACTCCTTGAAGCGGGTCAGCCAAGCACCGAACTCCTGCTTGCTCTGGAAGTTGACTGGTCGTTGAAGGAAATACTTCACAATACGATTGAGTGATTCGGTCGCCTCGATGCAATATGCAAAGGAGCCTATTGTAGAGAGGTCCACTGACCGGGCTCCCGGTGCCTGCAAGACCGGGGAGACACGTTCGGATCTTGAGGGATTACTATCGACATCTTTCTCCTTATCGGCGATCGAAGAAAAGTGGCCTGGGAGGAATGATACTGATTTTCCGATTTTAGCTAAGGATGTATCCCATATGTTGAAAAATGGTGTAGTGACCGGCTCCTCTTTAGCCCAGTACGTTCCATCACTGGGAAGACGGAGTCTCACATCGTCACTGGACAGGCTCATATTCCATCTGCCAGGCAATAGGAAGATAGATTAGCATAGTTGATCATGGAAATTGAAGCAGTGCATTACATACCCAGTAGTGAAGGAAGAAAATCTTCATGCATGTCAGACGATAGCCACTATCAACGGAGGTTGGATTTCTTACCGGTCCAAAAGAAAGACGTTCCAGAATACTCGTCGTCGCTCCTCCATTTCCGTCCACACCCGAGCTGATGGCAGATATCTAAATGGTTGGACGCAAGAATCTCCCTGCTGATCCTCATCTGGCTCGCAGTGAAGTCCCATGTACACAACAGCTCTAGTCAGAGCTCCAACAATTGGCCACGCTTTGCTTGCGTTCCCATCGCATATATGAACAAAGGCAATAATAATCAGGGACTGTGCACCTTCTACCGAGAGGCTATCTATACTTGACAGAACTACAAAATCCCTAGACTTCTGGAGTGCGCCCGGGTGGGATGTACTCCAATCTGCAGCAAGCCTTTCGTTTGCCACGTACCGTAAGGCACATACCATCATCGCATGGAGTATGGGCATTAGCTTTGGCTTTTCAGCCGGGTCACGAAGGCGAGATCGGAAAAGCGGTTCATGCAGAATGGGGATAAACGGATGAACGACCGAGAAGTACGCATCCAGAATGCCATTCATCAAGTTATCCGGGGGCAAGTCCACCTGAAAAGCAGAATCCACAAAGCTCCTGGAGTCTGGACATGGTCTTTTCCGCGAGGTCTCAGGACTTGAAGTCTGGATGGTGGAATCATGCACATCTCGATCCGGAGGAGAGTTTAGACGTTGATCTGGAGCGTTATTTGGCGAAGTGTTATTCTCTCGCCATTCCTCCATCATTGATGAAACTAAGGTTCGAAGAGCGTTTACATCCTGAACGGTGCTTGCAGGGCTTGGAATACCACTGTCAGCCTGATGCTGGGTGCGTAGTCCTTCCAATTGAGCTTCCAATGACTCTAGTTACGCCATATCAGCAACCTGACCGACTCATCTTGTAGGGTTCACCTAACTACGTACCCACTCGCTGAGTCAGCGTCTGAATGATGCCCACTTTGACACCAGGCTTATTCTTTGTATAGTCATAGTAACAGTCCACACCTATCACATTGTTAGGCTAAACACCTCGGACACAAGGCAAGGGGGCATTAACCGAGGCGTTGACATCGCGTGCAGGAGGGAAGATCCCTGGAGCACCGCAGCTTACGGCTCCGGCAGGACTGGCAAGCGGGCGTTTCTGTGTCCGAAGTGAGAGGTACTGCAGTCCCTCGGACGTCGGGGGATTCCATCTTGTTGCGACTGGTCGTAGGAAGATTGAGCCCAAGGAGCAGGTCAATGCCAGCAAATGATGGGGGCTTGAAGTCCCTTATTCCAGCACCCCCACCTTCTGCGGGGTTGAATCTAATAGACCTCGTTTTTTGTCCCCAAAATCTGGGGCAATTGTGGGGAAGGATTCATTAGCGATGCAACTCTGCCATCTCACGGACCAAGGAATCGGCCGATGTCACCCCACTACTATAGGGTATTATGCCGAGGATAAAGTAGCGTTGTACTCACGGGATGATCCTTCAGTACGCATTGTCTTACTGATTACAGCGGGGGGTTTTATCTTCAATTGACGGGAGCTCGGGACTGCAGCCCTTCAATAATATCAATCATCATACTGGACGCTGCCAAGAAACTCGGACTCAATGCCTCCTCTTCATGGATTCTCCGACAATCTTTTTCGCGGTAAAGAGGATGTGATTGTCGCGACGAGGGCACTTGTTCAGGCCCTTGAACCATATTTTTCGCCAGAACAAGCGCGGGTACGACTACCAACATACTCAGGAGCACATTTCGATGAAGCAGCGGCAGACCTAGAAGGCTTTGCACGGCCCATCTGGGCTATAGCTGCTGCGTGCGCAGAATCATCTACGACAGCAGACCCAACGCTCAAGGCATACGCAGATCGCTTAGTATCGGGACTTGCCAACGGAGTTGATCCAGCGCATCATGAGTACTGGGGAGCGATAGAAGACTGGGACCAACGCATGGTGGAGGCTGAGGCGATATCATTTGCGCTCCTTTTAGCTCCATCCACGTTCTATGAGCCATTATCAGCCCAAAGTCGCAACCATTTGGTCGAATGGCTATCGGGCCTGAATGAGAAAGTGATGCCCCAAAACAACTGGCGCTGGTTTAGGATCTTTGCAAACCTTGCTCTCCATAGAGTATGCGGCGTGCCTTACGAGAATGTCAAAAAATTCATCCAAGAAGATTTTGCTCTCCTCGACACGTTTCAGTTGGGCAATGGATGGGCCGCGGATGGCCCGTGGAGAAAGGATGCGAGAGATGGAGAGGAAATATACGGTCGCCAGGCAGACTATTATTCCGGTAGCTTCGCCATTCAGTTTAGTCAACTGCTGTACACTATGTTCGCTTCTGACTTGGATCCCGAGCGTGTATCTCGATACATCCAACAGGCGCAAGAGTTCGCAGATCAGTTCTGGAGGTATTTTGACGAGGAAGGAGCACCAATTCCATTTGGCCGATCCTTAACCTATCGATTTGCCATGGGCGCGTTCTACGCAGCATTTGCACTGGCCAAAGCCTACAATTCTTCAAGCCCTTACACGTCCCCAGGATTCGCTAAGGGAATGCTACTTCGCCATTTCAGGTGGTGGGCCACACATTCCGATAATGTCTTTGCTTTGGACGGAACCCTCACCATTGGCTACCTATACCCAAATATGTTTATGTGCGAGGATTATAACTCACCCCAGTCACCGTACTGGGCTATGAAGAGCTTTATCATGCTAGGGCTGGCGATCAGTGATGATTTCTGGACGGCAGACGAGCTCCCTCATCCTTTGACCTCCGATCGCGAATCGAAGTCACTTGTGTCAGGCGTCCAGTTGCTCTCAGCACCGTTCCAGATACTGTGTGATCACCCAGCAGGCCAGCATCACTTTATGATTTCTGCTGGCCAATTTTGTGTCTGGCCCCTCAAGGCGACACAGGCCAAGTATAGCAAGTTCGCATATTCCTCCGCGTTCGGCTTCAGTGTTCCAACTGGGCTATTGTTGACGCAGATTGCTCCAGATAGCACCCTCGCTATCAGTAGAGATGAGGGAGACACCTGGATCACTCGATGGCAGACAATTAATAGTCCTACCATTGAGACCATCCTGATTAACAATCGGGAGGTTCAATGCTTACGCAGCGGATGGAAGCCATGGCGTTCAGGCAGCATAGAAATCCACACACTCCTGGTTCCTCCTTGTGACGAGTGGCCTGATTGGCATATTCGAGTTCATCGTATTCGGGACACTCAGTCCGGATCTTCCACTGCTGAAAAGCTTAGTCTCGTTGAAGGGGCCTTCTCGATAGAGGTCAAACAGCCACGTCGCGTCCCCATCTTGGCGGAAGGCTGGGATGCAGCAAGAGACAGCCTGGATGTCGCCTTTGGAGGTCGCATGGAATATGACACGGGTTCACTAGTTATTGGAGATGGTGACGCTAGCGGCATCAAGAATCTGTTCGCTTCGGAATGTTCTCTAGAAGGCAAAGTTCTAAAGCCGGATCCGAATACCAATCTGATGGCCCCGCGAACGTTGATTCCTACTATCGAGCATGAGATCTGTAGTATACCAGGGCGAGACAGAGTCATTGCTACCGCCATATTCGCTGTTAGCAAGGGGAAGAGACAGTTTTCCCGGGAGGAACTTTACGAGAGGTGGTGCCAGCCTCCTAACTTGCCGCAAGAAGTCTTGACCCTCCCATGTATATAATATAATCTGGCAAAGTCTTCTCTTCCATAGAATAAAATAGTGCCGTGCTTAGCTAAATTCCTCGCTTGTGTTCACTATTGACATAAGGCTATGTAGGATACCTGCACTGGGCGATGTTAGCTGCCGCACACCGAACAACTAGTAGGATAGGCTGAACAGCAAGCAAGGTCCCATATATTAGAACTCATGTTTATTGGTGGCAATTTTCTCACAGTTTCGGTATTTTGACCTCAACATAGCGGCATGCACATACCGGTTCCATGGCTTCTGTGGGCCAGGAAACGGTGCATAGTGTCTACCACCAATATGATTATGGCTACAATACAGATTCCACTGTTTCCCCGTATTCTCTGGTAGTCTATCCCGACTCATTTGTGGGGAAAGAGGAGAGTTTAGTGTCGGAGGAAGCCTTCGCCCGAGCAGCGGAGGAATCCCCGCCCGAATATTAATGCGACTTAGGGTTTAAGCTTCGGTTGGAAACGCGGACATGGGCCCACTGGTATAGTGACACTAGCGCCTCGTAATCGGCATCCATTTTTGTCTCTCCATGGCCAATAAATAGGAGATGCTAGCTCTTGTTTCATGAGTTGCTGCACGAGTGGTGTCGGACAAACGACCGTTAGCTACCATTCCGAATCCTCACCATGGCGACTTCACTCCCGGTTGATGAAGAAATGATCGACCAAAAACTCCCCATTGAGACCACCACAAGCAACAGCAAACAGACTCCTAGTCGCCAGGCCCTAATTCAAGCTCTTCAAGCGGAGAAGCCGTCGCCATGGTCTCCAAACCTAAGAAAATTATACATCTTCTGCCTGATCGCATTTCTGTGCTCGAGCATGAACGGTTCGTAATTTCCGATGCAACATTGTATAGAGAGAGATGTGCTAATTACTTTACAGGTTATGATGGATCTATCTTCGGGTCACTCCCTGCTCTAGAGTCGTTCAGAGACCAGTTCGGGGTGGAGAAGAACGGAGCGAAAATCGGGTATATATCCGCCATGTATACGGTTGGTGGAATTTGCTCGCTGCCATTCAGTGGGCCAGCGTGCGACTTTCGTGGCAGACGATGGGGCACTTTTATCGGCTCTTTGATCGTTGTGGCCTGTACCTTCCTCTCCGCACTATCTCATGGAGTGCCTCAGTTTGTGGCTGGTCGTTTCTTTCTAGGATTTGGTGTGAATATTGTACGATCAACTAGTTCCATCTGGTGTGCCGAGGTCTGTCCTCCAGCATATCGTGGAATCATCATGGCGTTTTACAACTGCACGTATGCTGTTGGATCGCTCATCGCTGCCGGGGTAACTAGAGGGTCAGCTGGATATGCAGGCAATAAATCCTGGCAAATCCCATTGTGGTGTCAAATGATCTGCCCTGGAATTGTGTTGGTATCTGTGCTGTTCTTTCCTGAATCTCCCCGATGGCTTTATTCCCATGGCCAGGAAGAGCAGGCCCTGGAATTCCTTGCGAAGTACCACGGGGAAGGAAATCCCTCCCATCCTCTTGTGCAGCTACAGCTGCAAGAGTACAGAGAGTTTATTTCTCTCTCCGGCTCTGACAAACGCTGGTGGGATTTCCGCGACTTCTACCAAACCAAAGCAGGACGATGGCGTTTTATCAACGCGTTAATCACCGGCATCTGGGGCCAATGCTCGGGAAACGCCGTTGTCACGTACTATCTCCCCGCGATGCTTCTTACCACCGGCATCACCGACTCTAATCAGGTCTTGAATGTGAACCTTGGTTACACTGTGGTTTCCACGGTTGCATCCTACCTGGGCGCGAGCCAAATCGAGAGGATGGGTCGTCGGCCAACCATTATCTGGACTGCTGTCGCATGCTCAATTTGCTTCGCCTGTATCACCATCGGTTCCGGTATATTCGATAAAACCGAGGCTACCCCCGCCGCCTCTGCTGGAATCGCCTTTATTTTTATTTTCGGATTCTGCTACAATTTCGGAATGACGCCTCTTCAGGCACTGTATCCAGTGGAGGCGCTCTCCTATGAAACGCGCGGGAAGGGCGTCGGCCTTACTTTCTCCATTGCCCACGGGTTTACTTTGCTCAACCAATTTTGCTTCCCTATCGCGCTCAAGAATATTGGTTGGTATACATATATTGTGTTCATTGTGTGGGATCTGTTCGAGGCAGCTGTCAGCTACTTTTTCTCCGTGGAGACCAAGGGACACACTTTGGAGGAGCTGTCGGAAATATTCGAGAGCCCAAATCCTGTCAAAGCGTCTCTTCAGAAATCTATATAGGCTATGCTATCAATTAGTCATGTTACTACTACCCAGTTCATCGTGAATATCTTCTAATACCATCTATATTCTTGCATTTGGTATCACTATATTACGAAGCATAATAGTATGAGACATGATACAATATAAATATTCCTCACTGTTTAAGGGCAGGTGAGTACTATTCGTAAAGCTAATGAAGCGAAAGTATGAAAACTAGGAATTTCTTTCCTAGTTACATCAACCCCTGAGCCGCATATACAGCAGGCGATCTAGGTTGTAGGTACGATGCTCAGAGGTATTAAGGCGCCCTGCGCTTCCCTGCTGACTTGCTGAGCTCCTGTGGGGACTGTTCCTGAAAACGAACTCTTTTAGCTTTCTTTTTCGACTTGCGTGCTGCAGTAGTCTTAGTGGTTGAGGGCGCAGAAGAATTCTGTCTAGCCAGGAATTGTTTCTCTTCATCTTGCCTCTTATGACGAAGAGGGCCGAGACGATCCTTAAAAATCGTCAGCATTTCTTTAGTATCGTCAGGAATCTGATAGGGTTCATTCTCTGATGCTTCGCCCAGTGAATGTTGGCTTGGCCATTCATGATGCTGCGGTGATTGGTCTTCTGAGTTTATGCGAGGGGACTTTTGAGTCGTTATACCTTGGCTCCGCGGTGGTTGACCTGGCGATTTGAAGTCTTCCGTACGTCTGCCCTGCAGATGCTGGCGCGTCACCTGTTGACTCTGGGGCTGTTCATCTCGCGATTGTCGATAGTTCAAATAGTGATGCTCTTCTGAAAATCCACTCTCCAACGGTAGTATTTTAGGTTTCAATTGGCGATGAGACATCTCGATCAGCGTCTGTTGTGTTTATTGTGCTTTAGAATGACGACGGAGGGTGGCCTAAAATATTTTGCTCCAGGGAGGCGATGGGGTTCTTTATAGTTGTTACAAGATTGTCTGTCGCGGAGGGTAACCGCCATCTTTCGATCAGGCTCAACGGACAGCGGCTTGATTACGGAAGTTACAACAAGGCACTGGGAAATATCGACTGCTGGATGCTAAGCTCCTTCATTCGAATTATGGATTATGCTAAGATCCTGGGACGAGACGATCCTTGCCGGGTAAATTCATAGAGGACACGGAACCATCCAAGATTGCTTTATCGGTGGCTGCTTTGTTGCGAATGGACTTCAAAATAGAACTTTTGTTTTCTAATGTATTCAACGTGCAACAAAGAATCATTTGTTTCACTTTCGCATTGTCGTTCGCCCACTGATTGTCTCTCGGGGGAGATACCTGAGACTCACTGGGTGGTGACAAGCTTGCCTGGCAGGTAGAATAAATGTTGGATATTACCGCACTTACAACGACATAATGGAGCATCACTCTGAACATTTGATTATCTTCCACTATCTTGCTTTGCAACTTGGGCGTAGTAGGACTTTCGAGACGCCGGTGGATGAGGCTCTGTATAGCAGCAGTCACTCTGGACAAGCGCCGCCCATCGCATAACCCACACTCCACCCTTGCTTCAACCCACGTCGGCTTCCACACTCTTTCGCGATGCAGCCGGGCTACCCAACCAAGGCTAGATTGCGCACTCGCACAAGCTGCATGAAAGGTAGGTTAAGCAATGCCCTAAATCAGTAAGCCAACGAATAGGATCCATTAATGAAGAGCGGCATGAAATGGGAAAACAGCAATACAGGCATACATGGACCCACTATTTGCAAAATATTAGTAGCCAGAGACAGTAATTAGACACTCGGCGCACATTGTTTAATCTGTTAAATCTTAATGCCTCGCTTGCCACAACTACGTATATTAGCCCTATGTAGGCGAGTAGTGGCCTGATCGGCGCTGTAAAGCCCCTGAGGCTCGAGTTGATCAGCCGGTGTAACGGAGGGTCCACTAGACAGGGTATAGCCCCTGTCAGTTAGGTAAGGAAGGATACGGAGGTGGCAAGAAAGACCACTATTTTTGACTGAACAGTGCGAATCTCTCTGTGGTACTATTCCTAGATAGCTGGGTATCCTCCCTCGTCCCCAAGTGTTCCGGGATCTCGGATTAGGCTTATTCGCTAGGCGATGCTTGTGACTTGTCAGGCCGGTTGGAGAATGCAAGATGGACCAGAATGTTCAGGGAACCGCGTGCTCCGTGTGGGCCGGTGGCCCTTTGGCTATCACTTGGCTAACCACGGTAGTTTGAGTGATTTACTCAATGCTTTGAGGGCCCTCAATTCCCAGAAACCCGAAACGCAGGAGTGGAAAACCACGAGACGCTAAGGAAGAACAGAACCATGTCGAAGTTCAATTCCTACTAGTTTGGTGGCGGGTGCAACATCCGGCAGCCTCTCGACCCGCTGCACTATGTCTGATAGGTGAGTCAGGCCCTGACTACCAGTAGGATGGAGATCATGCAAAATATGTGGATCCTCCGAAGGTGCAACCTTTACTAGGTACGGATTTCTCTGTAGCCCTTTTGTTCGAATAATGTTGGAATTCGCCTTCCTTACAGGGGAGCAATGTCTTAGGGATCGTATCTGTTTGGGTTTTCGTCAATCCTACTAAATGCCTTTATCTGCCATTTACGAACAGTCGCTACATCCGTTCGAATGTATTCTCGCCTAAACATTGATGGCTTGCTCTCAAACTAAGATGAAAGGGGTATGGGCTGCCTTAGCAGCCCTGCTAATTCAATCGGCACATGGACAACAACCTGTTGGCACTCAGATGTTTGTGGACTACCCAGGACTTAGTGATGAATGCAAAGCGGGCTTGGCAACCAATGTGTCTTGTCCGCCATTTCTCCCTGCTGTCTCTCAGGAGTGCGTAAGGCGTCAATCCACATTTATTGGTTCAATACTGAGGAGGGCTAGCAATGCCATTTTGGATTACGATGCAGTCAGAGAACTTTGCGTCGATGATTGCTATAGGTCTCTGAAAACAGCCAGAGCTACTGTCCAAGCCGCCTGTACTGCAAGTACCGATGTGATTGTCTACGAGGACGTAGCATATCCAGGTAATTACCTTCATTCCAGATTCAGCTTGGTGTTAATGGAATTCCTAGCTACGTTCATCGCCGATAACTACCTTCTGACCTTTGAGGTGTCTTGTAAAAAAGACGAGTAAGTGACTTTGCTGCTGCCCTCACCATCTAGTTCCCGGCTCTGACGTGCTCTGCCCAACAGAGGAGGAAATTACTGCGATCCTCTGTTCCTATCCTGGCAGAGTCATTACGTTGTACCAAATGTGACTGTTGCCTGCTCGGAATGCACGCTGGGGGTCCTTGAAGTCCAACTAAACCACCCCTTAGGATATGACGAGGGCCTGGAAGAGAAGTTCCATTCTTTGACATCCAGCTGTGGTATCGCGGGTTATAGTGTCACTTCTCCAGCCCCATACGCTCTGAACGCAACGGCGACGGCAACTTCAGTTATTACCACTGCTACCTCCAAACCAGCTTGTGATGTGTCTTACGAGGTGAAACCCTCGGACGACTGTAACTCCGTGGCGAAGTCTTTAAGTGTGTCTACATATAACTTGCTGCAAGCCAACTACTTGGACCTTTATTGTCAGACCTTTTCCCGGCAGGTGGGTAAGAGCCTTTGTGTACCACCCAAGTGCACTACGCACACCTGGCAGGCGAGTGATACGTGCGACAGTGTGGTCAGCGGCCTCGGCAATGTAACTCTGTCGCAATTCCTCGCGTGGAATCCCAACTTCAGCTCTCTGTGTCTCAACAGTCCATTCTTTATTGGATATGAGGTCTGTATAAGGTAAGCAAATGCGGCCGGTTCGGTTGGCAGTCAAGTTCCAGTGTGTGCAAAGTCTGTCAACATTCTAACTTTCTCTCATCAGTGCTCCAGACGGTTACCTCAACCATACATCAAACGACAATCCTAGTCCCACAGTAACCGCTAGTAATAGTGGTGTCGCAGAGGTCCCGACCAATGCAGCAGATGGCAGCTCCCACAACTGTAGTCTGTGGTATACAGTAAGTGATGCTTGGCTTCTGCATACTTTGTTCATCGAAGAGATCACCAATGGCTTCTTTAGGTTATGGAAGGAGATGATTGTGCCCCAGTAACCCTGGCCCAATCCATTTCTCTAGCCGACTTCTACTTTCTTAATCCGGGTCTAGGCAAGAATTGCGGTAATCTGCAGTTCGGCAAGGCGTATTGCGTGAGACCCGTTGGTTCTATCACCAACTACCCCAATTATACCACCACTGGGGTTTTGCCAACCACTGTCCCCCCGGCCACCTTATCTTCTGTGAATACTGCCATACCAACAAGCACCAACGATCCTGGCTATGAGTACATCGAACCCCCACTCCTCCCTACTGCGCCAGGTACTATTCCAGACTGCTATCTATACCAGAATCCCCCTTACTTTGCCACCCTCTGCAGGGATCTTGCGCGGGAAAACGAAATACCGAGTGAAGACCTGGCAGAGTGGAACCCAAGCCTCGAGAAAGACATGGCCAACTGCACTCTCACATCGACTTACAGTTACTGTGTTAAGAAGTACGAGAATAGCACTTGTAAGTAGCACACCGCTCTTGAGATAAGTTGCAATGCTCACCGTGCACATAGTGCCCGAGGATATATCCACTTATTGCCTGCCTACTGATGCCACGGAGCTTGGTACAGTTTCCAACTGTAACTGTTTCACTTCGATTGACGTTTATGATGCCGAAGGTATGGACTCCCACAATTCCCCGAGAATCACTACTAACCCCTGGACCAGAATACACATGTGCGAAATTGGCTTCCGATTACGGAGTGAAATTAGCCGAGCTTTTGGCCTGGAATACTTGGCTATCAGGCGACTGCGACACCGCTCTCTTTGCTAATCTTAACTACACTGCTAGGCGCGCTGTTTGTATTGGCGTCGGCACCAAGAGCGCTGCTACCAGCACCACAGAATCCATGGGACCTACTCAAACTGGAGTTGTGTCTGGATATCAGCTCTTCCATACCCTGGTGGACAGTGAACAACTGCCCATCTATCGAGACTAGGTATAGTGTTACCCTAGCTTAGTGATACCGATAGAACCCGAGCTTTCGGTCGAACTGCCAGAGTTTGGAAGTCGGGTACTCCGTTTATGTTGGGGTTTTCTCGTAGATATATTACTATCATGCGCCATACGCTTGAAGGGATCTATGAAGCTGTCGTCTTACACTGAACGATGTATGCGTATACCAACGCTCCTGTTAGGACCTCCAGTTAGCCTTGGGGTTAATATTAATAAGCTCTGCCCTAATTTCGAGCAATCCATAGAGCAGTCTAGATATTTAAGAAGTCGCTTTCCCATGTTCGACTCGATATTATTGTTTAGTTATTTTACATATACATCGCGCGGACCATACTTTTCACCATAGTATTTCCTTCACGTAATACCAACTACACACAAGAGAATCATGCGTTGCAACATTGTCACATGATTATATTTCTTCCTCACCTCACCCCTTTTAACCCTGAACCACGATGTTTTCTACTTCCCGTTACCATCAACCACTCACCCCAACTCAAAAAATCTCTCGAAACTTACAATGAACACAACGCGGATTCTTCTCCCTATCGGCAACCGGCTCAAGCTCCCCGCCGTCTGTAGCCTTCGCCTCGTCAATCGCTTCCCTACAAAGATTGGTCTCCCATTCTATCCCTTCAAACGCCAGTATCTCCACCAGGTCCCAGCCGCAATGAATACTCCCGACAATTATCGACGCGATGTCCTATCAAAACGGGACCCTACCATGGAATCATTCTTGAACAACGCCGACAACCTGGAACGACTCATCCAAATGGATGGATTCAAGACCTGGGGCTTCGTGATTTATCGCTGCACATATCAAAGTGACTCTGATTGGGAAACGTTCATGACTCGCTTCCTCTACCATGTTAGGCATTCTCTCGATTTCTACAGCGGTCTGGATCTACTAGACAGCTTCGCCCCAACAGTCTTCGAAGATAGATCCTTTGATGGCGCAACTACCGCTCTTGTACGCAAGCATTTCCAAGAGTGGGCTGCAACGGCGCCGCCAGTGGAGCAGCCTGTTGGCTACTCTGACTATCCAGAAGCGGGCCGGTATAAGTTTTTCCTTATGGTGGACCAGGAGGCTTTAGAGTCTGTCCTGGGCGTACCTGATCCGGAGGAGTGTGATAGCGATGGCTTTGTGCGCCTGGTCAACGGATTTTGGGAACCGGAGGTACTGGACGCAGGTGAACTGGCAGAGCGTGGAGTATCTAGCCAGTCGGAACTGGAGCAGGAGGAGCCTCTGGAAGGGCTTACCATGCTGGATGTCGGCTGGATGAAAGTATGTTATAGTGACGCACAAACATGGGGGTATTTGAGTATGCTTGACGGCTTTCGCTGGTTGAGGTATTACCAGCGTCCTCCACTTATTCAGAAATATTTATAGTGTGTATGGGTGAGAGACATGATACTTGCGGCCAACTAGGATGGGTGTCTTTATTTTGATATGTTTTATCTTTATTTAGAGCCCTTCTTAGGATTGAAATACACTATGTCCCTGTTCTTTTCCAATGGTATTTTGTATTGGCTGGGAGGAGTCAGATACACAGCCCCAACACCAGTGTAAAGGGCAGATGCATGATAAAGCGCATGGTTAGTAAATTGGAGCCCCTGCTTTCACTGTTGAGTGTTTTATCATCCAAGATGAAGTCAAGGGGTTATCCGAGCCCCATTCCGCGGCCAAGGTGTAATTAGGTAGTCTCACCTTATCGGTCCCCAGCCAGGGTGATATACGCCAGCTTGTTGAATTTTTGTTTTTTTTTCAAAAGTCTTGAAGATCAACCAAGTTGACAATGGCAAAGCTCGACGTCAGAAAGAGATATGAAGGCGATATGTAGGCAGGTAATCCAAGGGGCGATCCATGGATACATCGCGGGATTGCAGCCTTCTATGTGCGAGTTAAATCTCAAAGTGGTATACTACATGAGAGGATGATATTGACCTATCGCTTGATTGAATTCTAACTATTCTAGATTCACCAAAATCGACAGTTGGCCTACAGAAAATACCAAGCCCATGATATACTATGCAAACTCCTCGAATGACAGGGAATCCCAACATACTCCCACAATTTGAACTTATTGATATAGGGCTGGTCCGTGCTATCCTGCATCTTCCATATTGTTATCTACTAAATCTGTTCAATCTGCTCAGCACTATTCATTTTCAAATCGAAATTCAATAAATCAGCATTTCCAGCGATCAATTATTTTTTTACATATTTTGAAATCGATATAAATTGTAATATTTGTTCAACAATTCTTAGTTGCAGTGGTTCGGGGTATTAAAAGAATCCAAATAGATTAGTAGGTTTCATAATACTTGTGGGCGATGGCAACAACGTGAAGTATATATTACAAAAAATCAGAAACATTATATCATATCGCATAAGACACGCATTACGTAGCTCCCAGCATCCAGTTAATCTGCGAAGTGTACGGCTTCTCTCTCACAACCTTCTTAACAATATTCCCATTCTCGTCAAATTTACCTTTGACAACCACTTCCCGCCAACCGTGACCCCAGTCTAGTTCCCACTTTTCCTCCTTCTTCTTGGCCTGACGAGAAGCCGGGAGCCGCTGTCCAGACTCTCGTGCGCGTTCCACGGAAGCGTAGAAATGGAGCGTCTTTTGGATTTCTTTTATACGCTCTCGGGAGAGACCTTCCGTAGATGCCTCCATTCCACTTCTGCCATGGGCATCCTTGATACACTCGCAAGCCCAACAGAGACAACAGGTATATGGCTCTGCAAACTGCTTCTTCCATAGGTCAGCAGTGGTGGTGTCTGCTGTATTATGTGCCATGGTTTCTTTGGTCTCCGAGGGCCTTGGAACTTTTTCGTAGCTCAAGTCTCCTCTAGAAGGCCGGCTGGCGAACGTGTGAAAGTTGTCTGCATAAAGTTGATGGGTTCTCAAGGCGAGTTCAATGTCCCAAGTTGGCGTCAAACTCGTACGTCTGTCCGGATGTAGCTGTACAAGAAGGAGAAACTTTGTATATCTTTCCACGCAGCGGCTCAATGATCCTGAGCATGCTGGTGAGCGGAGCCAGAGAAGCTGATGTGTGTCATGAATAAAGCTGTCTTGCATCATGACTGCATGTTCGAGATCAACTGAGCACTGGGCGCCCACCGACGCGGTGTACGGGGGTGGGGACGCAAGACAAGAAAGAAGGTCCACCGACTGTGATGACATGGTCGTAAACATATTCGCTGCCGCAGTCGGCAAGTTGTAGACAAGTGTTTTTTGATCAATGACGTCGTAGAGCGCGTGCCAAGGGAAACAAAGCATATATGCGGTTTGTTTACCAAACTCCACACAGTCCGAGGAGTAGGAAGGGTGGAGGATGTAGCTATACCACACTAGCAGCACATCTAATGGAGGAAGATAGTTTTTCGAGAGAGTAGTAGTGTCCTGCTGCGCTGTACCAGGGGTTGTGTATGCTTTTGCATGTCGTATTGCCTTGTCAACATTTTGCCACCAAATATCAAAACGGCCAACGGCTGCTTTTACAAATAGTTCCCATTTCCTCATCTGGCTTGTACAAACCATCTCCGCATCTGCAGCCGTAGGGAGTGTTTTGGAGCCTTGAGGATTTTCTATTGAGACAGGATGGCTCGCAGTTGGTCCAATAACAGCGTCTAATTCCTTGGAATGCATAACGTCGTTCTGTAGCTTATAGAAACATTCAATGAGGCATAGATGCATTGCTAGGTGATTCGTCGATGGGTATAGAATGTCGACTTTCTCGATGTCCGAGACATCGGAAGCACTGAATGTGTGACTGGGAGGAATAGAAATTCCTCTAAAAATCGCTGGGTCTGGTATCTGTATTTCCTCTTCCCTAGACCTTGCGGGAGTCGGGATGGTTTGGCTTATCTTCCATGAATGCTGATGTGTTGATGGCTCCTGTCGATGTCGCAATCCACTGAGTATTGATGACATATTGTTTCACAAAGTAGAATACGAACAGTCCTTTTTCTCCGGAATAATTTATTTTAGATTTATAGTAGTAAAAGGGTGTGGTGGCGACTGTTCCGTTTAATCGCAAATAATAGGTATTTCCCTTCAAGGTCAATATTGTTAATGGACCAGCGTCCCCTTAAGTACTACTTGGCTGACAAGCATAGCCACAGACCATAGCCACCATAGGCAGACTGTGTCGAACATCATCATCAGCCCCCCTGGTCTGCTTGGCTGCCAACCTAAGTTACGTAACCGGGTAGCGGTTCGGCCATCACACGATATATTCTGAAGCTATTCCACCACTAACCCTACTACCAAAAATGTTTGGAAGAAAGTCCAAGGAATCTGTTGAAGCAAAAGTGATGGCGCCGATTAGCGATCTCTGCTCTAAAGATGTCAAAGTTTTCTAGTAGCTAAAAATCTGCACGTGTGTATAAAGTACTCCATTTTGTTTCATCTCATGAAAGGGCTAATAATTGAATGGAAACTATATATTAATATAATAGAAAAGGTATATCAAGATAGTGATCACTGACTGAACATAGCACGGTCTTTGATCTGTGCGTATATGTGAGGATATGAAGGTGTTGTTGGTGTTGCCCCCGGAGCAGCGGAGCTTCGTTTGAAGCACTCAGCGACCACTTAGTTACCTTGGCTAGATACGACTCTCCGACGAAGTCTAAAATCTACTAAAGGCTAACAACGGTGAAGGGTGGCCTTAAGGCTCGAATGAGAGTGCAAGTACGAGCCAATCCGAAGACTAAAAGTCGAAGGCTGAAGGGCCAGGTCTATTGAGTACGTATACTCAATATTAAGGCGGTGCGAATACCTGCGAGGCCTTATGTCAGAAGAACCCGGATATGTTGTTCGATATTGGCAGATATTGAACTCACACGCTGTGTGTTAAGACAATGCATAACAGAACTACTGGTATCCAGAGCCGTTGGCTGCAGGAGCTGGTGTTCAGGAAATTAGAAGTCAGCGGGCGTTATGCCATTACTACCAACTGTGCCAGAGCAGGTACAGGAGTATATCTCTTTTAACGTTCCTCACCATATCATGCTGGAATATGGAAATTTCCCCAGGGTTGCTATACCCTGCTTCTCCGGCTCGAACCCCGCAGTATCGTGCTTATTCTCCACTTTTAACCCTATTTACTGTATAATTTGCCTCTAACGTGATAACCGAGCCACCCGAAACCCCAATGGTATCTGGGGCGCGCATTAGCGGACCGCATTACTCAGTGGAAAATTCTGTTGGTCAGGAAGTGACCATTGTTTAGGGCTTTCTTTCCATGGCACCTTGTCTGAACTGGTATTATATCAACGCATCCAAAAGTGCTTCCCGACTTATTCTTTTACTATTTCGTAGCAGCTTCCTATCTTGGCCCTCAATAATATGCCTCCGAGACCACGGCCCTTAACATAAGCAGTGGTCAGCGAGCACGATCGATTAGATAAATGGTACTAGCTGCGACTCTTCCAAAAGTATCTACGAGGTTCTTAAGCCCTGACTCATGTATGACTCAGAGATAGAACTAGTTTCGAGTGGCCCGAGTTTTAAAGGTAGTCAAACTTCTTCAGACCTCTCTACTCCGAAATCATACAACACTAGCTCTAACTTCGTCACAACGGATCTTGCCGTGTCCTGAACCAGTCACAGCTAGCGCTCATTATATAAAGGAAATTCTTCTTGTCATGGCTGATCAACCGCTGTTCGATCTGAGCTCCTTTCACCCCGCCCCAGGCATTACTCATGTTTGCACTGCTGGGGATAGCCTTCCACTACGAGCTCACAATGATGCCCTGTCAAAATACATGACCGACAAAGCTGGGGGACACAAAGGTTACGAAGAACAAGGCAAACTCCTCGATAAAGCGCGGGATTTGATTGCCAGCTCCTGGAAAGTTTCCAGTAAAGAGATTGGATTCACGTCAAGCGTCGCAGAGGGGGTTTCCATGATTCTAGAGTCGCTGGACTGGGCGGAAGGGGATAATGTTTGTATTGACGCCGATGAATACCCGAGCCTGGTAGCTCCTTTCGCTCTCAAATCCCAACGGAGTCAGGATGCATCTAGTCACAGAACACCAGAGATGCGGTACTGCACAGGAGAAAGTATGAATACCATAGTCAACAATAAAACACGGCTTATCGCGGTTAGCTACGTCTCGTATTTGAACGGGGCTCGAATCGATCTTTCTTTCTACCGCGCCCTTGCGGACTCAGTCGGAGCCATTCTTCTTGTTGATTTTACCCAGGCTGCTGGGTACAGCCCCATCGACGCGTCGGTTGCAGATTTTGCATTTTCTGCCTGTTACAAATGGCTATTGGGCACGACGGGAACAGCAATCGCTTTTTGGAACCAGCAGCGTCAGCCGGACTGGACGCCTGGGACAGCTGGATGGTATTCTCTATCTATGGGAGTGGCACGGCCACGGTGGGAGACGGATCGGATTGATGTTCGCGATGATGCGATGTGCTTTAGTCGCGGCAGCCCCGCATACTTGTCTACATATATTCTCGTGGCTGGTCTTGAATACCTGAATCAATGGGCCACTTCTGACATTGAAGTGCATGTTCAAACACTTACTACCAAACTCCTCAAGGAGCTGGAAAGGGTTGGGATCCATTCAACAACTCCAAGATCGGTGGAGCGCCACGGAGCCAGTGTCGCGGTTGACTGTGCCGGGGCTTCAGAAATTGTGGATGAACTACACAACAGTGGTATTTACGCATCCAATGGTAAGGGACGCGTTCGTTTCAGCTTCCATGGGTACAATTCACTGAAGGATGTGGAGTGGATCATGCAGGTGTTTCCTGGTCTGTGGAAGACGTGGAACTAGTGATAGCGTGTAGACTAGTTTCAAACAGGTCAAATTTACTACTCTTATAACTGGATAGTTCGCAACCTGCCATACGAGCCGTTTATCCCTACGGCTCTCAGGAATACGACAAGGCTGGTAGGTAGGTACAGAGCCCGTGTGGCAACGGACATGAAACTTGGTGTGCACCATCAAAGTTGTTCATGTAGTACACCAAAATGGTTACCTAACTCCCTATCTGTCCAAATGATCGATACAGAATATTGATTCATGTTTAAAGCGATAACGTATTAGTTAGTAGATAGAAATAGCTTTGTAAAATCATATGCTGGAACTGAAAGAGATATATAGTGATCTGTACCAGGCTAGAACTTCTGTTGAGCTTACTAGAATTAACAGTGAACCAAATATTATTTCGTGTTTAAAATAGTAGGCTTTTTGAAGACCTGTACTAAACTACGGATATGCAGTTGTTAGAGGGTATATAATCCCTGGGAGCTTGAAACATCATGCTGACAGCCTAGTTTAGTACAATCAGTCAAGAACTCAAGTTACAATATATCAGTATATTTCAGTACTTACATGCCCCTTGCAGACTCTCTGAGCATTGGCGAGTGATCCTTAGTCACCGAAAAGAGTAGTGATCCAGCCCGGGAGCTGTGCTCAACTAACAGGAGCTTCTTCCGTTGAATAAACGGCCGCTAAATATTCACCGGGAGCTATTAGAATTGTTTGTCCATTTGGCGTTTGGAAGAAGAGTCCCATAAGAACACTTGTGTCTTGGTATAGATTCCCAAGGTAACTCTATCAGCTCAATTCGAGGGGTTGGGACTTATGAATAATAGACCACATATAATTTGAACATCCCAAGTTTCGCATAAATGCAATTCAGATTGCTCGGTATGATCGAGGTCAGACAAGGAATCATGCAACCAGGCGAAAAGAAAATCAGAATATGTCCTACTTGAACGAAAAAGCTATACACTGAATGCAATCAGGGAACTGGAGGGCAAGCAATCAACACGAAATATAGAACTGTCGTCGCTGGCTACCATTGCACCCTCCGGTGAGACGGCAATAAGCTCATTTATCAGGCACAATCCAACCATTTTCAAGCTTCCCCAATTTTTCCAACCGCTTTGGGCCAAACTTGACCGCCTCAATGCCTGTAGACTTATCGGGCATTGTCACACTACCATTGGTTAATCAGGATGTTCGTTAGGATTGACAGCTTGGATATGATTACTGGTAGATGAAGCTGTTTGTACCGGCAGCAGCCGGTGCACTGTTGAGCCGAGTCACTCGACCTCCCAATTTGGCAATATCGGAAATATACCTACAATAATGGAGAATTAGAACCACCCACAGAGCTACATCGATGCTGCTAATTACCTCTTCTCCCATTGCGTGGTCACCTGGTTCAATTCGTTCTTCTGGAACAGCAATCGCATAGCCTATAACGATTAGCAGTGCCCAGACACAGGTAGGTCGGATACACCCACGTAGGTTTTCGGCATGTTGGAAATTGTTGGATGATATGCTGCAACTTGACTTGATTCTTAATTGCCAGGTCCTGGGTTATCCAAATATTTAAATGGCAATCTCTGTGGAGGTCAATCGACTTTTTCACTAAGCGAATTGTAGAGCGGACACGTCAGTCGATCACCTTTGAATGTGACGTGTCCAGAGGAAAAAAAGTAACGGAGTCCTGTTCGGGACTCAGTATTCAGATGGCTCAGAACATTATGCACGAGTAAACTACCAATATTGATAGATGATCATTACAAGTCCCCACTTTCTTCCTGTCTTGAAATGTTGACTTTTCCTATGTTGTTGTTTCTGCCCATTGACTAGTGTGACGCGATATGCGCAAAGCCTCTCTGGCGGTACAGGAAATGATCTCGACCACCGAGCATCAATACACAAATTCCTAAATTCTAGGAAGACTATCGTTTAAGTACTGGGGAGACACAATATCAAATAGTGTATAGCCTATAACCATTGGGGCTTTGGAAGGTTGGTCTTCGTCCCATGAATTTGCCCTAACAGGCCAAGTTAGGCTTCCCGCCTCCAAACTAACCCGGTACGGAAGCATATCTGCCCTGCAGTGCACGACGGAGTATTTTAGTGTAGCTGGAAATCTAGGTTTCCAGCGCCCTTGAATCCTTCAGCAGTCAGCATCTGGAAGACGGGGTTGCCTGGCTGGAGTCCAAGCTCTTTCCAGCGCTTGAAGTGAGCTGTTACATCGACTGAACCGGTGGTACGGGGATTGCGACGGACAGACCACAGCTGGTTGAAATTGGTGACACCGTAGATTTTCGGTACATTCCTGTAGGGAAGCATATAGACGTCATATACCCCGCCGTCGACATTGACCTGGCCAAGGATATGGCCATTGCCCGGGGTGCCCGTGCCGTGTTGCTCGACGATGTACCACTCAGTGACAGGGTCCGTAGTCCAGCCATAGACCGCCAGAGTGTAGTCACCCTCCGCCTTAAAGTGGCCATCCCATGTTAATATCCTAGCCAAGGACAGGTGTCAGTGGGAATCGCAGCCGGGGGCTAACAGAACAGTTTACTCACCGCGTGCTACCGCCACGATAGCCCTTCCCTCCCAGGAACTCTTTATCTACGTTCCATTTCAGTTGGAACCGACCACTGTCAGGGTACTCGGTGTACTCGGCGCCGGCATGGTTGTCATTGTAAAGGGAGTAGTAATATCCCGCGGCGTTGACACCGTCCTTGCTGGTTGTGAGTTCTGTAGCGCGACGATGGAGTCCCTCGCTGCCTGTTGCATTGGATATCTTTTCTCCGATCTGCGGAAGCTCGTATGACTTCTCGCCACGAACAACGGCTTCGGTGGACGTGGGGTCAGTGGGACTTGCCAGAGCACCAAGGAAAGCGAGGAAAGTTAGAAGCCGAGTGGCTGACACCATGTTGGTAAGTTGACTTAGATTCTTTGTAGAAGAGAAGTTTGCTTGGGGATATGGAAGAGGGTTGGCCTTTCGTTCAAGAATGCGCTTTAAAATCTCCAATTTGTCGCCTGTTACTGAGACATCTGCCCCTGGCCTGTAAATTGATATATTCTGAGCCGGTGGTTCCAGGGGATATTTAATTCCACTCTAACCAGGGGTCAGTAAGAAGGTACAGTGGCAGGCTTCACCGAATTAGACTTCTTGAATTGCCTGGTCAACTGAGACTAGCTGTCTCGAATTAGACCCTTTTGTACGCTGGCTCATCATCGCATGGGAGCCACATCAGAAGGCCAATGGGAAGGTTTCTATTTGATCAGCCAACAACGGCTGAGGGATCCGCAGTTGAATTCCTGGAGTGTAGATCTATGTATATCCTTGGACAGCAATATTAACTTAGCGAATCCTCGTGATAGGCCATTTGGGGAAGTTACGTTCGTTGTTACATGTATCCAGGGTCGGATATTAGCCGTCAGTGTCAACCCAGGTGGCGTTCCGATTATTAGGACCCAAAATAGCGCTCCCCTACGTTCCAGCTTCAACCCCGTACCAGGTTGGATGCTGTTGCCTCTCGCCACATTCATTGTACATATTCTCGCCGCGTCGGTGGAGGCAAAATGGGACTGTGTGGTTTGCTTGTATCGTAGTTGTCCGGGGCTTTGAGGATTATACTCGCGGCCGTTGAGAGTGGACATCATTGGCAAGCACATGCTTTTCACCGCAACCCGAAGACCTAGTGCCGTGGATCGAAGTGGGCCAGGAGTTTATGAAGGCGGTTTGAGCCGTTGTCACTCGGTGAATGATACTACAGGAGATGAGACTTAGGCCGGCAAGGAGTTTAATTGGCTGGGTAATTGGCAATCTGGGATAGGGAACAGCAACTTTATGATTAGTGATGTGTATACACGGATGGTTGCATGATATAACTGCCAGACTGTTTCATCGGAAATGTCCCTGCCCACATAGAAACGAAGGCCCGCACGAAGGTTTGTTGGACAGGAGGCATGACCCACATTGCTCACCCGTGTGGGTTTGCAAATCCCAGCTACTAGCGGAATCGAGTCGCGGCCATCGCCTGTTCATAACCATTGTCAGGAAGACCCTGTATATCGGACAGGACATCGTCTATAGCTATCGCAGGATGACATCGTAAGGACACAGTTATTTACAAGTCACGGGAGTTTAACCAATCACACCAATTTGAAGTTGGTTCAAAGGATCGCGGAGAGGAGGTGATCATGGGCTTTCACAAGGCATATCGTCGGGATCTGCAGTCATCGTTACGAATGGCCCCAAGAAGCCAGGCATGGATGAAGAAAGCGGACTCAGGCTGCTTGCATCACCCTGGTTGATTCACACTGCAACAAGTTTTGAGACACAGTATGCAGGGATTTGACTTGGACCTTCCGATTTGCGTGGGCTACCAATGGATGTGATACAAGCCAAGTAAGTTGGGTTAGTATGCGAAGATCTCATCGGCAATGAAGTACCACTGGCTCTGCCGAATACGAGCTGTGCTCCCCTGTCCTCTAGGAACTCGTTAACATTAACTCTTTGTGGTACGGGCTGGTTACCGGTGAGGTTGGTCTGGTTCGATGGAGCCTAGCCTACGCCTTGTGGGGCCTATTCGCCTTAGTAAGGGCTACATAAGCCGCCACATACGGATCAAACTACTATTTAAGCCTTGTGGGCCGGATGTGAATGTAACATGAATAAATAGAAATGTTATACCACAGCTCTACTATACGAGATTCTATTGACAGCCTACTGCTTTGAGCAGTCAGATATACCATTACAACCATTGGCCCCCTGAAGACCGAACCTTGTACTGCGCAGGATGGTGCCAGATTCCTTTGTTATCAAGTAACATATGACTATCATGATTAAGTTAGTTACTGAAAGGCTTGCGCTTCGATTCACCTGCTGTATGCCAAGTCCAATGCCTTAGACTCAGGTTCGATATATTAGATTATTTTAATGTTATGGCGGCTCAAGAAACGCAATATGGCCCATACAGATCCCTAAGGCCAAGAACAGGATCGTGAAGCTAGTTACAGGGGTTGGATAGAGCCAACAGCTAAGGTAATATTAAACCCTTCTAGGTAGAGGGCATTTGAAGACTGAAGACTTGGCATTGGCAGACCCGCTGATCTGAGACACGGGTGACATAGGCTAGCCTACAAATCTTGACGGCCTTGGCATGTTTCTGATATAGAGATTGTCTATACTGCCTGGGGGAAATGCCATGGACATCGGCGTCATGTTGATACCAGACCCTGAAATGCGTATGTCGCCTGGACCATACTTATAACCTATATAAGACCGAATGATCTCAGAGAACAAAAACTTCATCAAAGCCACTGTGTGTCTATCTCTTTCGCTCATTTCTGCTATAACACGTTCTCTATTCTGTCTGGGCTGGCCCTTTCATTTACTTGTTCCATCCTCTTTATGTTTTCAACATGAAGCTCTCTCTCCTCGTCACTGCGGTCATCGCACCCTTTGTCTCGGCCCATTACTTCTTCGATACACTTGTTATTGATGGCCAGGAAAGCACTCCTAACAAGTATGTCCGTTCCAACACCCGGCCCGAGAAATATAACCCGACCAAATGGAAAAACACCCGCGACGATATGACCCCGGATATGCCTGATTTCCGCTGTAACAAAGGCTCTTTTACCTTTGCTGGACAGACTGGCACCGCGGAGGTTAAGGCCGGGACTAAGCTTGCCATGAAGCTTGGTGTGGGTGCTACGATGAAGCACCCTGGCCCTGGCCTTGTATATATGTCCAAGGCTCCTGGTGCGGCCAACAAGTACCAGGCGACGGTGACTGGTTCAAGATCCACGAGGAGTCTATCTGTGATAAGAACAAGGATATCAAAACCGATGCCTGGTGCACTTGGGGAAAGGACCGTATCGAGTTCACTATTCCTGTGGATCTGCCGGATGGCGAGTATCTTATTCGGTCCGAGCACATCGGTATGTCTTCCACCATTTATGTGAATATAAACAAGAATGCTAACACTTGAGAAAGGTGTTCATGGAGCACATGACGGTCAAGCTGAGTTCTACTACGAGTGAGTTATTCTTCCCGTGTCAATCATGAGTCTAGTTAGATACTGACGGGGCTTCCAGATGCGCGCAGGTCAAGGTCACCGGCGGTGGCCATGGAACACCTGGACCTACCATCAAATTCCCTGGCGGTTACAAGAAGGATGACCCCTCGTTCAACTTCAGTATTTGGGGTGGTATGAAGGATTATCCCATGCCTGGTCCAGCCGTCTGGGGTGGTGCTTCGGGCTCCAAGCCTGCTTCCAAGGTAGCTAATGTCAATGGTGCTGGTGCTTCCCACCAGGAGGAGCCAGGAACTTGCGGGAGCCACCGTGAGCATGCCCGTGACTTCAGCTACTAAGGAAATATGCTACGTTTCATCGCGGATCTCTTGTTGATCCGCTTAGGTGGAAACTGTGTTTCCGGTTTTTGGTCGATGGTTTTGCGTTCTCGAATGGGTTGGAATGGGTACTCTTTAGTTTGTTCAAGCTACACAGTCTGGTCTCAGTCAGTTTTTTGTCGTCGCTCTTGTCAAGTGCTTCGTTTTGGAGTGGAGTAACGGCTTTTCGCTAGAGATGGATTTAAATTGACACTCTTTTGAAATACATTCTATTTGTCTATAATATACACAGAAGAGTACGCAGCTGCAAGGCAGCTATCTGAAAGCTCAATAGTGCATTTGTATATGACAGGTCGCATTATGTCTGTTGTAGGTTTCTGATCGCTATCCGTGCATTCGTTCTTGTATGATCTCCGGCATATGATCATGTCTTTCCAATACCATAGCCTTCCTGCAATAGTCCGTTGATGCTCAAAAGGGACGATAAATAACCATAATATGGGTGACAACCTCGAAAGCTTCGCACAGTCTTACCGATCAAGGTTGTTGGTTGAGTCAATCTCCCCGCTAACAATGCTCTGAAAGAACGACTCGAGACTTGTGCCCTTCTGAAAATCTGGAAACAGCTTCCAGAAATCTAGATATCCGAGGTATTCGGCGTACTCTGGTGTGTTATCTCCTCGTACACACCAAGATATGCGATATTACCCCATATTGTAATTCGCACAGTCCATAATATTATCTGGATGCTGCATTGTATGAAGACTACTCTCGAGTCTTTTTCGGCAAGTCTCGATGATCTCGTGGATATCTGCCAACGACACCTGAACATATATGAGAATTAGCCAGCCATTTCTGTATATGGGGAGTTGTTGCGTTCGTGAAAGAATAATCAATATTGACATACGTAGTCCTTCTCCGGTTCTTCGCCCGTGCCTATGGCCATGGTGTTCCAGATTTCATTCATACTGAGCACCTCTGTGTATGCAAACACATGCTTGTTGATAGTCCTAGGATCTGCCACAATCTGAGCAACATACTTGCCAACATCTGCTATATCAATCAAGGCGAATTTCTGGTTTCCATCCTCCACGATACGGTGATCAATATAGGGCATATGAGCCTTATCTGACTTGCCGGACGGGACCTTAGGGACAAAGACTGAATACCAACAACCGACATCAATAACAGTATACGGTAGACGTGCCCGTTGAATTGCGCCTAGGATTTCAAGTTTCTACAAGTGCTGTTAGTGAATATGGTCATTTAGGTACCTGAAGAGCAAAAGCACACATGGTCTTTGATCCAGTGGACACCTTTAGGACATGGTCCTACCCATTCCGAGGGAACAAAACGTTTCACCCCAGCCTCCTTTGCGGCTTTGATCCAAGGAAGCTGCAAGTCGAGATGTTCCCAATTTATACAGGAGATAAGAATATCGATATTCTTTAATTGGTCAACGAGCTTTTGATGAGGACCGCTTAGATCGTAGCCGACAATGCAAACACCCTTTGCTTTGAGCCTTTGATTTTCCTGGCGATTCACGGAGGATTCTCGGGTGAAGGATGTGATAGTCTACATAGTGTAGGTTAGCATAGCTTGGGAAACAAGCGCCAAGTACAGGCAGCGTACGAAAGCTATTGGTGAAGACAGTAAACCATTAACCACCGTCTGGCCTGCGTTGCCAGTTGCCCCGATAACACCAACAGTTATAGCAGTCATTTTTGAGAGAGATCCAATGTTGTGATGGTGCAGATTAAAAGAAGAGAGGATTCGAAAAGGGCAGATTCGATCACTTATATAAGTTTCACTAAAAGTTTATCAAACCGCCACGCTCAGGGGATCTCAATTCTGGCTCAATAAAATCGGTGGTATTATCTTCTGTTTGGAGCTCAGCTCGACGCTTGAAATGTGGTGCTCCATGGTCAAAGTCCACTTCGTCCGAAGACCCACCAGGTAACCAGAAGTCGAAAATCGATCACTTCGGACCAATTTTGCGCTAGCACGCAGGAACTCGGACGAAGGAAAAGCACCTCGTCCGAAGCCTATTTCGTCCAATATGTGGGCTGTTTTTCTTATTCCTTTAGTGAATCAGCTTGAGTCAGTATTACTCATATTGAGGCCCACCAGAAGCAGATATTTCCGGGAGCAAAGGTAGCCCTGGATTAGGACCAAGCACCACCATCCGCGTTATTCAGAGATTTCTACAGCCCAGTTGCCATCACTATCTACGTAGATAGCAACGAGGTACGTGATATAAGCCAGATATAGTCAGTGGTGCTAGAAAGTAAGACGAACCGGATGGTCTCGAGCTATCAATCCGTCTTGTGGTTTCTGTACTTGGTACCTACTTAATACTGTAGGGTGACAAAGATCCGTGTCAATTTTACTTGCGGTTGCCTATGTTCAAAAAGAATCAAGGAGCCGGTATCCATTTTCTTATCTCGTATCACGCCCGACATTGCAGAAACATCACAATGCGCGCCACTCCTGTTCAAATCATTCCGGCCCTGGCTTCCTACCATAGACGACATATCTTGAACGACAGTTAGCAAAATATCACCACAGTGGAGTACCGAGGGCGGAATCCCGAGAAACGTACAACTTCCCATAAATATGCAAAGACCTATCACGAAGCTGCTCCTTGACAAGAGCCTGGTGCAATTTGGCCTCCGATTCTGACCATCCCAGCACCTGCGTGTACAAACGCAGACCGTAAGCCTCCACGCCCTCTGGGGCCTGCACATATTGCCATTTCCCAATCTCTTTAAGCTGAGGATCCTTGGGCCATGGTCCGTACGGAAGCACGTAGACCGCCTCAGTCACACTCGTAAAACTGGCGTTCTTCATCCAGGCCTGCAGGGATGTGGCAACATTCATCGGTCTTCCGGTGATCTCACCCGCTTTGTTGAGGTTGTTGATATACTCTCGATAAGGTGAATCTTGTTTGAATGTCCCATCATCGCTGAAAGCATCTATGACGAACTCAGCACATTCGAAGTATCCGTTTGGTTTCAGATGGTCGTAGGCCTGTTTCATTAGACGCCCCCAATCTTGGACACACCTGACCCTGGTGATCAGTTTACTTTGATCTGAACGCTCAGAGCCGGGATGTATTGTATACGTACCCTGAAATTGTGCGAGCATGAACATAATCGAAGTAATTCCTATCGTACATCCATACATTCTCGAAATCATCGACAACAAATTCGACGTTTGGGGGAACCCAAGATGGCTGGATGGGGCTCAGGTCATTCCCGATAACCTTGGCCGAGGGAAACTGGCTACACATAGTTAAGCGTATCCATTTCATGGAAATCTTTCCGAAATACATACTCAGCAACATCTATCGCCCAGATACCTGTACCTGTTCCCAAGTCCAGAATTGTTTGGGGATTCTTCACGGGTGCGAGAAATAGCTCTCCGTTGAGCATCACGGAAAACCTCGGGAATAGTTAACGGATCATTCTCCTCTGCCTGCATGGATTCAATCGCTCACATATGATGCACCTGCATTAGTGTCAGCGATCCATAAGTTCGTTGCCATTGGACTAATATCTGTGACATACCAAGTCGAGGCGATCCTGCTCTGCTTCATCATTTGGCATGCTATATTGTACATCAGTAATTCGGGGCTTTAAACACATTATATTCCTAGATTACATGTATTGTGCCTTTTGCGACGGTTAGTATGAGACTGATGTTACTGTTCCATATAACAATACCTGACCATAATTGTGATATCGCCGGCCGTTCTCATATTCGTAATCCAGTACAGATGATGACAGAGAAGTGGTATCCGATGACAGAGTCTCGTTATAGATACTGAACTCATCCTAAACCCTCTCGTTAGCCTCATTTTCATAAAGACAGACCCCCGTCATATTACATCTATCGGTATCTCGCCGGCTGTATTAACGTATGGCTGTAGTGAGCGCGATGGCTGGCCTTGTTCTGGCATCATTAGAACCATAAGTAAATACCCGAAAGTAAACAGAATTTACAGGAGCAAGCTTAGGAAGAGGAGAGAAAGGGTGGTCACGCAATGGTGCGGAGGTGGATTCTTCGTGAGTAACCCTACTGATTCCCCGAGCCCTAGCTGCTGGCCTAAATCATACCCCTGGCATCCTACTTCGCCAATTCACACTGTGCCATACGTGCATTATTAAGGAATAAACCAATGCCTTGGCCATTTAGGGGTGTTTGTCCTACTTGAGAGACATTATCACTCATGCACTGCACCCAATATGACAAGATGGGTGACCCACCGCCAACGGTCATTGCTACCATTGGCTTACTTCCGATATTGGGATGTATTAACTACATGGATTGACAGTTAGGTGCAACCTCGATCCCCGACTTCCGAGTCTCAGTACTACATGTCCATTGGTTTAAAAAGAGAGCGCATTCCCTGCTCTAAAGGTTCTTTGTACCAGGAAAAAATCATTCGCCAAGGCGTTAACCAAACGAGGCCCAATTTTCCATAAACCGATACCCGTAGGTCTTTTCTACTCTCTCACTCAGTAACATAACTAGTTTGATAGAACCGAACCCCATCTCGCGAAAACTCCAGAAACAATAACCCAAACTCGAAAGATCCAACCTCTATAACTCCATTAACAGCCATTCCCTTTAACACAAAGACGCCCGATTCCCATACGAAACCCGAAACTCCGTAGTCTGAACCACTCCATCTTTAGCCCCGTACATAGTCGCCGAAAAACTGTCCATCGACCTTGATCTGCTGGTAATGGTATTCGTCCTCGTTTGTCTTTGAGTTTCCTCCACATTGCTAAAGTCATTAAAGGCCTTCCGCGCACCGCTTCCATGTGTGTATCGATCATTGAGTTCGTGTTCGTAGGCGCGCCTATTCGTGAGGCCGGTGCTGCCAAAGTAGACTTTGAACAGGGATCGCATTGCCGGGACCGAGGCACAGATAAGGGACATGTTTATCTCGAGGCAGGTGGTGAGTTCGGCGGCGGACCAGTTCCTAGACATAGCACAGGAAATGTGAGGTGGTGGTGCTAGGGATGCGTGGGAGATATCCAAGTTCAGACACACCATTGAAAGTCTCTTGATCTCAAGGCGATCACTTGCGTAACCTGTCTTGCGATCGATGCACAAATCGTTAGGATACCGATGCCGAAGGCGATTATCAGGCCGACTATCCTTTTTTCAGTATTCTTACTCTTCTGGCTTGGCGAAATGGACAGACTCACTCTTGCGGCGATTATTTGTTTGCAGTTTCTTCACGATGGGGATGGGAAGGAGCGCCAGTAGGATATCCGTCGTAACATGGAATGCACCGTTGAAGTAATTGAAACTCATCAAGTCGAGACAGCCTTGGGGGAATTCGGGTCCCCATAAAACGGATATAGGCTCACAGATAAAGGATGCCACCTAAGTTTGTTAGCCACGGGTTTATCGATGCGTTTATCCAACGACACTGGTGTGAACGCACAAGAGTCGCCGCAATTCCATGGCTAAGTATAACCGCTCCAACCCCGTAGAGAAACCTAATATGGGTTTTATTGGAAGCTAATCGTACATACAAGGCGACCATGCTACCTTTCGCTAGTCTAAATATTCGGTTCATGTTAACGTTAGCCGGGCCCAAAAGTTGAGGTTGTGCATTGTGTCGCGATATGTAAGAGTACCCGAGACTGAGAAAGTAGAGAACCTGCGATATCCACGCCCACTAGGTGAGAGTCAACGTCATGTCCGAAGTATGGCGGTCGAATTCATTGAAGGTAACGGACCTTTCGCGTACACTCCTGTTCTTTCAGTGTCAATTCCATAAGGTGGCGGCCAATCCCGCATTCATACATTTTCGGCACAGTTACCAACTCGCCGATCGATGCAAGCTATATGATCCCGATGAAAAGCATCATCAGCCTATAGAAATGGATAAGTAGAGATAACCATACCGAAGCTAGAATAATCAGGATGTCGTCAGACCCCAGCTTGCCCAGCAAGAACTGCCTCGCATATAACCTACGCAATCACCCCAGCTAGGTTAGTGGTGTTGGCTCATCTCTTCACCAGAGACCACACACCTCATGCCAATCATGATCATGGCAACCCCAAATATTACATAACTTCCAATTTGGAGGTCTTGCTGCGACCCCGGCTGAATGGAGACCATGCTGGGTAGCAGGGTATCACATTAAGCCGAAGAGTGCTGTTGGCTCCACAGGTAGAGTCAAGTCTTATAGATCTCCGCACTTGGGTGCTACATGACTTTATACAACGGCACCATAGCCGGAAAGGTTCCGATTTAGCTTCTTGATGTGGGTTAACAAGCGCAGATATATGTATTTAGACCTTGTGGGCCGTTTCTTGACTTGTGGGCCGTAGACACCCGGGGACCCTGAACTATACCTTGGACGTATAAAAGGTATCGGATAGATTAGATCCCCACTATTCAAGTTTACGCTTTTAGGTTAAACCTACTGGTATCCATATACTCCTCTTTGTTATTCTTCAACCTTGACCTCACATACATCATCACAGTATCGCAGTTCGGGGGAGAGCGGGTAAACTCGTAACAATTCAAATCTACCATCCCAGAGCTCACCCATCAGAGTTTCTCAAGCAGTCCGGCCAATTCCACGTCAATAGAACACTGGGCACTGGGAGACAGGATATAGGGTTGTCTTCATGTTGTCCCTTGCCACGTGAGGTCCAATGCCCTTCGGGATCTAAAATGTCCCAATGATTTAGAGGGTGGGCTACTGGAAAACCAGGAACTCGAAACCCCTCCTGATACTGTGTAGACCCTTAAGGATCAAATAGTTAACCCGGTGACGTGGTCAAGAGATTCGATGCGGAGCTCGATCCATCACCGACACTGTGGCGATCGTTGCCAAACCATGGTCCTGCCGGAGGACTGTGAGACGGTGAAAGTTTGGGAACTTCGGAAATTCATAGGGGTTTTTACCATCGGCTAATCCGTGGAATATTCCACCGAATAAGCGAATTAGGGGAGAAGTCTAACGTGATTCATCTTCATGGTGAAGCCTCAATCAGCTACCAGTTCTCCGCAGCCAAGATTTGGGGATACACGACGAAGCAGGTGTACATACATAGTGGTTGTAACCCCACCTACCATCTACACAGTTTTTCCATGGGTTATATCTACAGTCATTGCAGGATAATTATAGCCAATGCAGGAGGATCGATCCTACCTACACAGCCTCACGAAAGGTGTTCATCTAATCCATTCATAAAACCGTTTGTCGGGTCTTTGTAACTTGCCCACTCCGACAAGGCCTCGGAGTAAATGCCACTACAGTAAAAGTATCCGCGATCCACAAACTAATAGACTACTATACTCCGTGAATAAAGTCGCATGCAATAGTAATGGAGCACTTGTTATTGCCTTCCCATGCTGTGCATCGGCTAATCAACTTCTCCATCCGGTTTTCTAAAAGAGAGTGCCCTGCAAGGCTGTCCCTTAAACGGGGGAGCAATTGATCCAGGGCGAAACAAGTGGTGTGCGTCTTGCATACTACACTATCGCGTTAGCCATGCTCTAGGCGAGCAATCGGGCCATCAAGTACTAATAAATGCATCTTAGCTTTTCGACGGCGGCGTCCCTGTGGAGCCTTAACAGTTACCGTTTGCTATTGCATGATTATTAGACGCTATCGTGATGACCAAGGCGATAGTGTTATATGTTCCCCTTTCTGCAGGATGGTGGTCTGGTTCTTCTTATGCCAGGTTTGGACCATGGAGCGACGATCTTGAAAAGTAGATACTACGACTCTACTCGAAAGGATGCTGTTATAATCACCGAAGTTTCGGGCAGGGTTTCGGAAACGAGCTGAAATTCACATGCGATACTTCCACGTAGGATTGAGGGGAAACTACGGAGTAATTATCACCGGATTTTCTCCGACAAGGAAGCATGCAAAAAAGGATACATGGAAAGAAAACAAAAAGAAACGACCGAGACGCGACTCGAACGCGCAACCACTGCCACATTCCGGAACCGGAAGGCAGCGCGCTACCATTGCGCCACCCGGCCGTTTGTTGAAATCTGAGCTGGTTTTCTTGCTTTATGAGCTAAGGTAAAGTGTTAGAGTTTCAACACTTTATCTTCACCTTCATTTCATACCTCGAAGTCGAGTCTTCTTTAGGGAGCAGCTTTGTTCTCCAATTTACAGGTAGTTATCTCGGTCTACTACATTCCTAGATACTTTTCAATACTTGTAGCCATGTTTATGGTCGGTTTTCACCCATTTCGTGGTCACTCTGTTGTGAACTGAAGATATGTAGTCGGCTATATATATCGGAGCCCAAACGTAACTGGTAAGTGGCTACACCTGTTGACTAGAACTCTGCCCGTGATTTATTTTGGAGCTATTCAATTACTAGGTTCTCATGCTACCAGAAGCTTTAAGAAAATTGAGGAATCTAGTAGAGTACGAAGAACGGCTTAAAAGCCATTTAAACCTCTTCTGCCCTATCCACAGTGGTTAAGTCAACCCTTCCACATACTCTCCCCGCTGCGATTATGGCGAGAGTAAGGGAGGTCACTGTGGGTACTAGGTTAATCAAGTCTAGTTTCAAACAGAAAATACGGTGCAATGGAGCATGGCCTCATGTTCTGTTCCTTCATACTTCTCGATCGAAGAGAATTGATCCGGATAGCTTTAAACGAACGAACGAACAAACATGGAAATGAATCATTGCATTACAGAGGACCAACTATCTTGATATGCGTCAGTATTATATATTTTCATAATCAGAGAAGAAATGAAATGATCCCTTCCATTCCTAGCAGTCGCTTCTCTGTAGCAAGATTGAAAGCCTTGCAATTACAACTACGCCTGTATGGCTTACCAAACCTACATACAAGACTGACTATGATGGAATCCCTAAAATACACAACTACTCAGGGTGATAGACCAGTAGACCCTGGTCAACAGGCTGAGGTCATAGACAGGGGCTCAAGATTAGCCCTATCTTAAAGACCGATGGTCGGCGACTGGATCCATGCTTTCTTTTTCTTTCACTATTTTCCAAGGCTCAGGTCGTTGCACGGGTCGATGTAAGACTACAACTAGTGAGTAGCCACAGATGCATGTGTGAGGTACTATTGAGAACTAGATTACCGGCTAGATCCGTCCCTACCCCACAATGAAGAAGTGGATATTTCTACTTTCCCCGGTATTTCCTGTCATTGGACTTTTGTTGTTGTTTGGAGTCTACTCAACGCTTTATATAAAACCAGCGAGAGACAAAGGGGGAAAAACGAGGAGTTAACTAGGTAAATAAAACTAAGGTTCATGATACTAAATGGTTCTTGCTGACGAGCTAGTAGAGGGACCAACCTGACTAGGAAAATGCGTTTCTCTTTTTCAGCTGGTGGAGATCTCAGCTCATTGTGGAGTCCAAGGGTCTTAACTAATACCAGAAATGAGTGGTCCGATCAACGAACCATTGTTCAGAGAACACTTATCTAGACCCGATCAACCTGTCTATGACCGTACTGAGTCTCGAATGCATCAACGTCACAACATTCAAGTATTTTGTACCCCTGACCATGGCTAGAGCTACTGACGTAGACTAGCTATACTAGTAGTCACAATACCTACACTGCGCAGTGATATATCTCCCTCTGTAGGGAGTCGCCACACATATAGCTTTCTGATTCGGTGGTTCTAAAATTACGTGTCATAGTGAAGCGCGCTTGCATGCAGCTATTGATCCCACTGAGACATCAATGAGACTTTCCTTGGATAGAAATACATCTGCAGACAGGGCAATAGTAAGTACGACGTTGCCATAGTCATATGAGCTTCACTAGAGTGGCATAGCAGGGTTGAGTGTGGAGTAGAGAGGGTATTGCGGCCAGGGAGAGCAAGTTCCTGATCCAATTGTTCGACTTCATGATCCACCCCATGCATCAACCGTAATAGGACATCGTGCCAGCCTGGGAAACTATGCGATGCGATGCAGATATCACAGTGGATATGCTCAGCTCATCGACCTGCCAGGGAACACATCTTCGCCACAAGAGGGAAAACGATTTGGAATTGACAGTCTGGTGTCCTGTTCCCTGCTCACTCAACATATATAAACCCCTTTGTCTTCCCCAGAACTTCTCTCAAACCATCTCACACAACCAAGCTTTCTTCCAGTGAATTCTTCACAGATCCAATTTCCAACCTCCCAAAAAGTTCTCAAGTGACCGAACCAATCCGTTCATCATGCGCTTTTCTGCCCTCACCGCAGCCACCATGGCACTGGCAGGCTCTGCCGCGGCACAGTGCCACGCTGGCGGCACTGCCAATTGCAAGCCGGGCTTCAACTACTGCGCCAAAACCTTGAACAACCGAGGTAACACTATACGTTTTCGTGTCCGTATTTTCCAACGATGATGACTAACTTGATTGCCCATTTGAATAGGTGATGCGAACTCCGCTATCGCAGACGCGCTGAGAGCTTCGGGCCATGAGGTGAAGGCAGGACTTCCTGGCACTTGGGACAATCTCATCTTTCATTGCAATGATGATTACACGTTGAAGCTGGTGCAGCAGTGCGATAGCAGCTTTTGTGTGGATGGTGGCCTCAACAAGAACGATCACTGCGGGGAGAAATGGCACCCTTTCTGAATGTATCTACGCTTTTCTGGCCAATCATTGTGACTGTGGATGGGTGCTGAACGGTGGGACTTGTTGCGACACAAGGGGGTATTTGAGTTCAGAATAGGTACAGACGTAATCACGGGGTTTAAGATGAGGTTTTGTTCATATTCATTTTAGTAGAAAGTAAAACTGTAGTTTGTCTTGGTTATTAACTCTGTAGGATATGTCCAAGTAAACTATCTGGTTCGCGGTAGAGAGTCCACTCGTTTGGATGAACTGGATCCATTTTCTATAAGACGTCAAAGCGGGACCTTCCTGGCCTTCTTCAATCTCTCCTTCCATGAGACAAGGCTGGTATGTCCGTGGACAGTGGATTTGCTAGACTTTGATTGAGCGGCTCGAAAGGAAGAGATAACGAAGCTATGTCCGAGAAGGTAAGTTGGGGGTCCAGAATGTACAATGAACATAGGATACTGGACGATCTAGCCACAATCAGGGACGGCAAAAGCTGTATATTCCGGTAGGACTCAGGTTAGTCTACTAAGACTTCTATACATACTACCAGCTTTCCCTCTGCTGTTGTCGCAGTGTTGTGATGACTCTTCCCGATGCGGTTAGCCTAGCCTATTGCGGTATAGCGGGACAACAAGCCCTGAGGAACATTTTTGGAAATCTCTGCGCCGTCCCTGGCTCGAGTCACCAATCGACCAGGCGCAAAGGTCGAAAACAAATTAAAAAGGAATTAATTCACTTAATAACATTCCTCCGAGCGGTGAATTTCCGCATTGTTGTATTGGCAGTAGATTTGACCAAAATACCAACACGTGTTACAGAGAAAACTGGGATTGTACTACTGATAGCTCCACATCTTGCCATCAACAACCATTAAACTTCATCCCAAGTACCACCACGTGTTGCATTTTCATCAAGGAATAAGTTGCAAGTTCCTTGAGATATAGAGCCTCGGCCGTCATGCAAGGTCCCGGAAACAACGATGGCGCGCAGCCGTACGCAACCATGGCTGGGAAGCTGGACCCCAAACTCCTTCAAGCCGTCAAGGTGATGGGTTTTGAGTACATGACGCCTGTCCAACACCGTGTTCTAACAGAGCTTCCAAACTGGCGCAGTGACTGCCTGGTCCAGGCCAAGACTGGTACCGGCAAAACCCTTGCCTTTTTGCTACCTACTTTACACTGTTTACTCCAAGGCCATTCAGCTCCACCAAGGGGTCAGGTCGCTATCTTGATCATTACGCCAACACGAGAGCTTGCTCAGCAAATTGCAAAGTCATGCGACCAGCTTACATCGCAGCTAGCGACGCCTCGTGAGTGCCACATTGCAGTGGGTGGAACGGCTCGGGCATCTGCTCTTTCACGCTTTATGAAGGGAGCGCCGTCCATCCTTGTAGCAACTCCAGGACGACTAAAGGATTACCTGTCGGAACCCTCCACTGCGGAAAAGTTGTCTAACATTCAAACGCTGATTTTGGATGAAGCCGACACGATGCTTGAAAGTGGCTTTCTAGCTGATGTGAAGCGAATCCTGCAACTCATTCCACCAAAGAGCACGGGCTGGCAAGGTATGTGCTTTTCAGCCACCGTTCCACCCAAGGTCAAGGATGTGGTTAGTGTTGTGTTGAAGCCAGGATACACTAGCATTTCGACAATTGAAAAGAATGAAGCGCCAACACACGAGAGAGTACCCCAGTACCACGTGTTGATACCGTCCGTGGCAGACACCTTTACTACGTTGGCCTCCCTTCTCAATCTTGAAATCAAGAGCAGCTCTAAGATCATTGTCTTCGGGGTCACGGCAAACATGGTTGCTCTTTTCGCTGCAGCCTTTTCTCAAGGTTTGACGCCTTTGAGGGTGTTTGAAATCCACTCCAGGCTTAGCCAGAGCGCTCGCACGAAAACCACGGCTCAATTCAAGGAGGCGGCGACGGGAATCATGTTCGCCTCGGATGTTATTGGTCGTGGCATGGATTTCCCAAATGTCGATTTGGTCATCCAGGTCGGTCTGCCATCGAACGGCGAACAGTATGTTCATCGTGTCGGCCGTACAGCCCGCGCTGGCAATGATGGCCGTGCTATCATCCTCCTCACAGAAGCCGAGTCTTTCTTCATGAAGGTCAACCGTCACTTGCCCATCCAGCCCCACCCCCAGACTGACACGATCAACGCGGCCGCTGCCTCATGCGCCGATGCCGTCACTCAGGCCATGTACAGCATTGGTGAAGACACAAAGCAACGTGCTTACTCGTCCTACATAGGTTTCTTCGCTGGGTCGGGTCTCCTGAAGCAGCTGCGTATGGATAAACCCGGCCTCGTTCAACTCGCAAACGAGTTGGCCATAAAGGGCATGGGATGCCCCGAGCCCCCACCAATGGATAAAAAGATCATTGGCAAGATGGGGTTGAAGGGTGTACCTGGATTTAACTATGCAACTGGAAATGACTTGAATGGAGACCGCCCTTCTAGACCACATGGCCGCCCTGGGAATAAGACTCGTGATGTATTAAGTCCCGGAGCTGGTCAAGGAGATCGTAGAGGTTCGGTCTCGAAGAAACGTGGAGGAGGTCGCGGTGGAGGGCGTGGAGGGCGTGGAGGACGTGGACGTGGAGGGAAGCCGAGAGCAGCATAAGTTTGTTAAAGTCGGAGGTTCGCTTGTACCTTTTCTTCTCTAGTTGTATCTGCATATCGGCAAGCATTATTCTTTACAGATGTTATAATACAACTCTAGACCACTGTTGTTTTCTGCACAACCTTCTTACGAGGTCTTTAAATAGGTTTGTACGTCCACCCGCACATCTAATGGTACCATCACAGTACATGGAATATAAAGCCCCCATATCATTAAACTAGCGACGTGTCTTCGGTCAGTAAAAGGTTATCCCATATGAAGTTAAGTTCTGAAAATGGCGGCTGCGAGACATCGCTTCTTGCAGCTGGATCCTGAGACGGCGGATCATCGCAATATGGGAAGAGACAATTTGCTTCAGGCATAGACATCAGTGCCGCCTCCTGTCTCAAGCTTGTCACCCATTTAGGATTATCGGCATATGTCTGATCAAAAGGGTCATTGCTTCCGTATGCTATCTCGCGGGCTTTGTCTTGAACCATCTGATCAGTAATGTGGTTACCCACAGCAGCCTGCTCGCGTAGATAAACAATAAGGTCGCGTCTGAGGTTAACATAGCGGCTTAGGGCGTTGGGGATATCATTGATGAAAGGCAGGACTTCGTTACCCCCCGTATCAAGAGCATCCGTCGTTTTCCAAGGATCCATGGTTTGCCGTTCATGCCCTACGAGGTAGGGGGGCATGGCATTTTCCACCAACCTGGTAACATCAGGCTCGAAGCCCCAGCAACCCTTCCATTGAATCATATCTGCACCCTTCTTGAAGTGGTCTGCGACATGATCGACTCTCTCTGGCCATGTGTCGAATCGTGCCTCGCAGAATCCACAGCGACACTTGATGTGCGTTAACGAATCTCGCCACTGGTCCATCGAGGGGTGATAGTCGACATAGTGTGTGAGTTTTAGGTGCTGTCGAAGATGATCCTTTCGAGTAAATATTCGTTGCTCTGATGATTTCTCTCGGCAGGCGAGGTAACCATGAGTTTCGAGATGATCGGAGTCTACGCCTGGGGTCTGGCAGAAGACACAGACGCGGGTACCATCAACTTCGATAAGCCCACCTTGGGGTGCGCAAACCCATCGATCCACTGGTAAGTGAAGTGCCTTCTCATGTCGCTGCCAGTCGTATTTAGTATTGAATGTATCGGAACAGAACGTGCATTGATACGGTCGCTGGCCCTTCGAGTTTCGTTTGTTCTTGGCCTCATTAGGATGTGGAGGCTTCCGGCGACGACGGCGAGGTCTTGTATTGATGATAGGGGTGGGTGGTCTTTGGCAAGTTCGATTCGACCGATTGAACGAAATGTCAGAGCCGGAGGACTGACTGTGTTCGTAGCTGCTGATTGAGGGAGCCCCTACCACGAACGAAGTGCTTGAGCTATTACTTGACACGGCATCCCGGCGGGCCGGATATGTGATACTGTCGTCAGAAGTATATGGGATATCTTCCAGGGCTCGCAAAATGTCGCACGTCTCAGCGGGCTCACTTTCTGGGGGCGAGTTTTGCCACCTCTCAAGTGGTGATAGCAGAGAATTATCGGCGTGGTGTGTCTGTGCCGTAGGTTCACTACCGGCCAGTCTGCGACGACGTGCATTGGTAAACCAGTTCGAGATCTGGGTTACATCTAACCCCGTCTCACGCCTCAGCTGTTCCTTTTCTTGCTCGGTAGGATATGGGTAATCCTGGTGTTGTTCGAGCCACGACCGCATGATACTCACTGCAGTAGTGGAAAATCGTCGGTTCTTTCTTTTTGCTCGTCTTCTACTACCGAACCCTATGCTGGTGCTGGAAGGCTCTGGCTGAAGGCTCTCGCACGAAGAGCTTATGTGTGAATGCCGTTCAGATAATATATCCGAAGCTACCCTGTCAGAGAGCCCAGAATTATCGAACGTGGGCAAGTCAGGAAAATCCCTACTCAAGGGGTTTTGATAGGCATAGTTTAGACCCCCGTATGACTCAAACAGTTCTGTCGGTAGTTGAGAGTGTACACTTGATCCTTGAGACGCCACCTCAGGCTGTAGCTCATCGAATGAGGCATGGCTTGAAGGCCGGCCAGAATGTGCAACTACCTCTTCTTGGAACAGTCTGTAATCTATGTCACCGACCAGGGCTTCGTTCGAGCTTAGAGGTGGGAGTAACAAAACGTCTTCGCAGTAATGGGGAGTGTCATTGTGAGCGCGCTCCATCCGAGTATGGAAAGCTGGAAGATACTCCGTACAACAGCCCGTTCTTTTCTTGATCAGAACTCGTTGAACAGAATTGAAGCACAGGACCTACATACTCAGCGTGTGGCTGAACGATAATCCTGGATCGCTGGGTGGTAGCCACGAAAGCTTTGAAAGGAAAACTCAACTGTACGCCGGAGTAGGCCGTTAATGCTGTACAAGACGGGATTCCGTGGGTCTTTTACGCCCTTTAATTGACGGCGTTTTTGGTTCCACAAGTGCTTGGCTGCTTACTCTGGTTGGGCTGTAGAGCGTTAACCGTGGATCGGATCTAACAAACGATCCTAATTTTCTGCAAGACTTATGCGTAGAACTGACCATTCACAGGCGATGACTATCATGAATCAGCAGCATTATCCTGGATATGGAAGGCGGTATAGTATCTTCCCTCTTGACCGCCTGATCCCATGACGAGACTGCGCCCTGTGTCATTGTTAGAGTCTCCACATCCACGGTGATCTCTCGCCGTAACCCATTAGTAGATGTTGCAGACGGTCTTGAGTCATCTCACCGATGGGCTGCTAGGTATGGTCCTTGAACATCAAGTAGCGAACAGCCAATACGATTCGCCGCCATCGAAAGACCACCGTTTCTTCCCACCCTAGCCTGCTCAAGTCAATCTGCATGACTAATACGCTGTGGTCAAGACCGAGACCTTAATGATCGGATGTATCCCGAGTGTACAACATTAAACTTTTCGTTCGATTGCTTCTTGCATTGTACAATACCTCTCGCTGGCTTCTGCACCCGGAGACACGCGTCTGTCAAGCCGTCAAGCTGATTAAATCCATCCCCGAAGGATTCACTATATCAGAGCAATGGCCACAATCACCCAGTCAGTTTCCACAGCAGTCGAGTTGCAGGAGCGCAATCAGGTTGGAGGGAGACTTACCAAACATACTGGGGATCCAACACCGCCGGAGGATTCAGATGAGCTATTACAGGCCTCACTCGCAGCAGACGCCGAGGTTCCTGATGGGGGCTACGGCTGGGTAGTCATTTCTGCATGCGCGGTAATTACCTGGTGGTTCATTGGAACCTCCTATTGCTGGGGTGTCCTACAAGCGGCATTGGTTAGGGAAGGGTTATCCTCGTCTTCCACCCTGGCTTTCATCGGCTCGCTGGCCACAGCATGTATTTCATTTTTGGGCATAATCAATGCGAATATCATACGGAGATTAGGCACTAGGATTTCGGCCCTGCTCGGTATCTTCTTGCTCGGCCTGGGACAGGTTCTCAGTGGCTTCGCCACCAAGAATGTAGGTGGCTTGTTTGCAACTGCTGGTGTTCTCTTCGGCCTTGGAGTCAGGTAAGCAAGTCGTTTCTGCTCATCGTATCGTCCAGAGAGCTAAACCGCAATAGCATTTGTTTTATGGTGGTCTCTGCGATCCCTGCGCAGTATTTCAGGGCAAAGCGCGGTATCGCTAATGGGATAGTTTACGCCGGAGGGGGCCTGGGGGGTACCGTCATTAGTTTTATTATGAACGCCTTGCTTGGTAAGGTGGGAGTAGCGTGGACCTTCCGGATCATTGGTTTCATGATCTGGGCTACGGGCCTGCCAGCAGCGTGCTTCATTAAAGAACGGGTACCAATTCGGCGTACGCAGTTTGTGGAGTGGTACGCTCCCCTCAAAACTTTTGGAACATGTCTAATGCAGGACCCCGTTTCTAATTCTCTCGCAGGCGACTCTTCCGTGACATTCGATTCTCTTTGCTGTTCGCAGCCGGCGCAATTGCAACTTTCCCTCTTCTTGTCCCCCCTTTCTTCCTTCCACTATACACTGAATCGATGGGCATGACCTCAGGAGCAGGTGCAGGAGTGGTAGCTGCATTTAACTTCTCCTCTGCGGTGGGAAGGCTGATGTGTGGCTTCTGCAGTGACCGACTGGGACCACTGAACACCCTGTTTATGTCTCTTCTGCTCAGCGCCCTCAGTATACTAGTTCTTTGGCCTGTTTCGACGTCCATTGGCCCGTTGATTGTCTTCGTCATTATTAATGGAATGGCCAATGGTGGGTTCTTTTCGACCATGCCGACGGTCGTTGGAAATGTATTTGGCTCCGCTCGAGTAGGTGTCGCAATGGGCATGATCGTGACCAGCTGGGCCGGAGGTTATTTAATGGTATGTTCCGCTTCTCTTGCTATCGTTACAGCTATATTCCCCATGTTCATCCCTTTGCCAGACGTTGACGGTTCCACACAGGGCGCTCCAATTGCAGGGTATATACTAAACGCGTCTGGTGGAGAGGATGCTGGTATTGGAGCCTATCGTCCGGCCATATTCTATGCAGGAGGCATGACCCTGAGTGCATCTTTGTTAGCCATGCTCATTCGCCTTAAGACTGATGCACAGCCGTTCAAGAGACTCTGATATGAATGAGTTACACCGGCTTATGTCGACTGCTGCAACTTCTGGGGAGTGGAGATATGTCTTGCGTCTACCCAATTAAGGGTTACATGGCATCTTGCAGCCTATCATTATGCTGTGGCGTCAGCAATTAGTGCCTGGTCTCCCCGGAAAGCTAGAGATGCTGAGGTTACTAGAATGCTGAAGCATGCCTCTCCGAGATTACTGTGGGTCCATGGTTTCTGAAATATGTCTTCACAATGGGCCATCAAAAGTTCCTTGAATCTTTGACCGTCAAAGACAGCTCTGTATTGTAGTTCGCTCTTGTGTTTGGACCTCATAATGTTTGAAAAAATGCCACTCTTGCAGAATCAGAACTTCAGCCAGGTTACCAGTAGTTTTAAGCTATTCTTTCATTTGCCTATAATATCGCACAGTTAAACTAGTCAGTCAACCCTGTACCATGATGTTTACCTCGGCAGAGACACTTGTGCATGCCTTGCCCATCATAGGGAGCTGCCGTCGCCTGTGCGCGCCCCGTCAAGCTTCGTGAGGCAACTCCCAGTAGGCACCAATGTACAAGTTGCATCCACAGGTTTCTCCATTCGTCCGAAGAATAGCTCGTGTGACCTAGACACTTATGAATACTTCCTCCATGCCGACTCGTCGTGCGCCGTAGTGGGTCTGCTAACTGATCCACCCCTCTCGCGATACTCGGGTGTACGCAGCATATACCAGAACGCCGGCTTTGAAGAAGCCACGAAAGACAACACAAAACGTTCTCAGATCCCCCCTGACCGCTATGTACAGTATTCGCTTTTCCAATAAACAGCCAGAGGACAGTTCTCCGATATTTTTCAACCAACCGCCCCCATACCTAAGAGCCCAACAACGCAGGACTTCCTGAACAGTTCAACCTTGTTCTAAACGTTATCCATAGAAAATGCTCACCAAATCCCTCTTCGCTTCCCTGACCCCCTTGAGACACTCGTTGCGACCTCGCTACAGTGTCTCAGCACGGCTTCCTCTACCCAGCAATGTCGTTGTCCGATACAGTTCCTACTCGCCGTTGGGTAAGACCTCTTCGGACTCCCGCAAGAAAGTAACCATCCAAACACTCCAAACCATGTACAAAAAGGGCGATCCCATCACGGTACTTACAGCCCACGATTTCCCTAGCGGCCATGTAGCCGATGCCGCGGGAATGGACGTGGTTCTTGTCGGAGATAGCCTGGCCATGGTTGCGTTAGGAATGGAGGATACAAACGAGGTGGCGATGGAAGACATGCTGGTTCATTGTCGAAGCGTGTCTCGTGCTGTCCAACACGCTTTCACTGTTAGAATCTCCTTATACATGTCACTTGTATCCAACATCACTCACGCCGAACAGATAGTAGACCTCCCCATGGCTCGTACGAACTATCCCCCGAGCAGGCACTCCAATCCGCCATCCGGATGGTCAAAGAAGGCGGCATGAAAGCCGTGAAACTCGAAGGCGGGCAGGAAATGGCGCCTACCATCCGGCGAATCACCCAGGCTGGGATCCCCGTCCTGGCACATATCGGACTAACGCCGCAACGACACCATTCCATCGGCGGGTTTAGGGTTCAGGGCAAGTCCGTCGCGGGAGCAGTCAAGGTAATGCGGGACGCCCTTGCCGTGCAGGAAGCCGGGGCGTTTATGGTTCTGGTCGAGGCTGTTCCCGGGGAGGTTGCTGCTTTGATAACGGAGAGGCTTCGTGTTCCGACGATCGGGATCGGGGCTGGGGTTGGCTGTTCGGGACAGGTGCTGGTGCAGGTGGATATGCTCGGGAATTTCTCGCCGGGGAGGTTCGTGCCTAAGTTTGTGAAGACTTATGCGGATGTTTGGGGAGAGTCGATCAGGGGTATTGAGGAGTTTAAACGCGATGTTAAGAGTAGGGCTTTTCCTTCGCGCGAGTATACCTATCCGATTTCTGAGCAGGAGCTGTTGGAGTTTCGGAGTGTGGTGGGTGAGGTAGTGGACCAGGAGAGTGGACATAGTGAGTAGAGTTGGATAGTTATATGTTTGGTGAATCATGTTATTACTTGTCTTGCTACGTTATACGAAATCCACTACATGTATTCAGTGAAATAGAACAGCTTTGGCACGGGCAGAAGCCTTGCGTGGAAAGCCTATGATAAAACATAGTTTTATTGAGAGTATTTGTTGAAGCGCAACCCAACATGGCAATGGGCCTTCAGCGAACTCAAATGTAAGCAACGAAAAGGCAGACAGTGGAAGAATTCATGCATCGTCTTTGGAAAAGATTACAACGGCCTTGCTGATTAACGACTCGTCTTCCTCCCTACCATACCGACAGTATCGAGTGAGAGTGGGCTGCAACATGAACAGGACAGTTCTTCCCTTAGAAGCAGGGTCAGACTTTTCCTTCCACTCATGTTCAGCATAACAGTGCTTCTTCATGTGCGGAATGTCCTCATGGAATGGCCCCAGGGAATCGAAAGAGCCAAATTCAAAATCCATCTCATTAGTCCACATCCCAATGCAAAGGTCCCCAGCGATTTGATAGATATGGAGAAGCTCCTGGTATCGTCTAGCTCTCGCCGACTCAGAGACTGTTTTGAGCAATGGATGCAACAAGGAAGACTCGTGAAGGAGATTGTACGCGAGTCGTTGCAGTATACAGTCTCTGAGCAGTTTCATGTGCGTCGCAAGTAGTGGGTCAAACGTGGTTTCTCGAGTGAATGCATTCAGGAAGCGGACTGTGATCTGGAGCCACTTTCGCGAATTCCACTTGTCTCGCACGCCAGAAGGCTCAACTGTAATAGAAATTAGCACAGGAACGTCTCATTAGATTTGATAATATACCTTGTTTACACCATTGCCATAGGTTATGGACCTCAGCACGGGAAGGGATAGAGACTTGGCCGTGCTCGCCAGTCACCTTCTCACCATCCTCGTTGAGATAAAAAAATGGATCCTCGATCACATTCTGAAACAGGTCCTTGGTCACTAAGGCTCGAGTGATAACGAGGGGGAGAAGCTCAAGGATATTGGCAGGTAGTCTCTCGACCAACGAGGCCCAGTCACCTTGGAGGCAATATCCCTCCAGGCCGGCAATTAGCTTCTGCTTTTCTTCGTCGGACAGTTGCTTTTCTACAGTTACCCACTCCGCTGACCATTCCTGCAGACGCTCCTGTATGACCTTGAGCTTCTTGTGAATTTCATCATCATCGTAAGAAAACCACGTAGCCCCGCGCAGGTAGTACGCAGGACAATCTGCAGGATCAGGATACTGCGCATGGTCTGTGTCGTGGGGTTTGGTCTTCTCATCAGTAGGATCAGGATGTCGTGACTGGCGTTTATCGCGTGACGAGGCTTTATCGGTACCTTCTCGCTGAGTCTGAATTGGGTCTTCCTCTGGAACGGAAGATTGGGGCGCAGGGGTCGAATACTCTCTTTTGACCTTCGCCTTCTTGGGTGGAGATGGCGGAGTTGCGGGAGCTTCCTCGGTGGGAGAGACGCTTCTTTTGTTCAGTCTCGCGGATCGTCTTCTTTTCTTGAACCGTGACTTGCATCAATACAATGGACAGTGTGTAATGTGAATAGTAAGTCATCTTACCACCTGATGTTTCTCTTCCTGGATATTAGGCACTGGACTGAGTTCCCGAGGCTCTGGCTCTGGGGTAGTCGGAGGTTGAGCCGTTTCGGGGGGTGTAATGGTATCTTCCTGTGATGCCCCAACATCAGTTCTTTGAGCACGACTGAAGAATGAGTACGGCCAAAAGGGCCACCTGGAAAAACGTGAATAGGACCGCCATACTTCAGCTTGCTTGGTGTCAGAGCTTGCAGGCTCCTCGCTCCCCTTCTTAGTCATGGCGAGGTTGGTACTGGAACGAGACCACTAGTTGATGGATGAGAACATAGACAGTACTAGTAGGGGTACTTTAATACAAGAATAGTGGAATTCAAATGAACTGGGATTGATCTGATATTCTGACACTCGTCATGGGCGAATCCAGACATTCTTATAGGTACGGTCTTCCGGCACGGCATGCGATCTGATAGTGAATGCTGCCCTGCCTTACGAATAGCAAGCGAAACAGCCTAGAAGCCCACATTAAGGACCCAATAAAGTCGTTATTCTAAAATTAATGATGGGATCCAAAGATCACAAGACTTGACAAAAGTGCTTTGTGCACGGCGTGTTCATTTGCTAGATTTGTGCAGCCGCTCCTTTGAACATTGTTTACTTTGCTACCACATTTCCTTAGTATGGCAGAAGCGATAATGATATAATCTACCACTTATCTAGAGGATTCTTTGCATAGATATAAGGAGGTTAAGCTGAATACTTTTAACATGGACCTGTGAAACAAGGATGTAGGCAGATATAGGCTGCTCTCTTTGTTTCCATGAACAAACAAGAGTGTGAACAATCGTATGTAATGTTGCAGCTAAGCACAAAGAAGACAATGAAAGAGATGGAAGAGAGGTTGCATCTTTAAATGTAAGCACTAAGATGCTCTGACGATAAGTGATTGGGCATAACCTTTGCTAGACATTGATCACAAAGACCTTACATTTTGAACTGGTGACCTTGCGTGGCAAACATTGGTCAATGAAGTAGGAGAAAGGGAAATAATGTAGGTAAGAACTATCAGACAAACGAAGTTATACAAAAATTGGCCAACATACTTAGAGCCTGAGTCTATTGAGCAGATGAGGGCAACCCGTACCGTGTTAGAACAATAGTGGTTAAATAGTAATAAAGAATAATTTCTAATAACGAAAAAATGACAAACATATCACTACAACTCCAATGTGAAGCTAGCAACTGGAGAACTCAAAGATCTCTTAGATTATAAAGAGAATCTGTAAAGATGCAACTGTGTGTCAAGTACTTTCTCTTTATTCTTTTTATATGTCTGGGTGGCACAGTCTACAGGATAACAATGTAAAGCTTGTAAACTGCTTTTCTTGCACAAGGCACAAGGCTACCTATTTATCTATACAATTCCGATGGCGTTCACCTTTAAGTCATACATATCTTGGGTAGAATAATAAAAATTGTAGACAAAATAGCCAACCGCAAAATCTGCGATCAGTATTGCACAGGCGCTCCATTTAATTTGAAATATCCAGGCTGTAGTGTTTGATAGACGCCACGAGGATCGTATGTTGCTGCCACTTTCTGCAGGCGGGCCTTGCTTTCTGCACCATAGCCCGAGATGACATCTTGGAATTGACTGCCATAGTTCATATAGATATACTGATGGGCAATACCACGCTTCTTTGCTTCCTCGGTGATGACTTTAAAGTAATCGTAAATGAAAGCGTAGACGGCATTATCGTCGGCCGCGTTATCCCACCAAAAGGCCATATTGAATAGAATCAGCGGTCCTTGTGATGTATCCAGACCCAACGCATTGCCAGCAAACTTGGTCATGTTGGCCAGCATCGGCTCCGTCAATGCCTGGTAAATTATCACAGGGTTGCCACCCGATATGTTGGCTGCTTGCGGCATGACCTCGAAGAAGTATTCAGCCGCCCAGCGGGCGAATGATTCATCCAGCTGCGCCGCAACTGTCCAGTACATCTCCCGGTGCCCGTCAGGGTTTTGGTCATTGATATACTCGGCGTACTCCACTAGGCTCCTGGACTCGGTGATATCGGCCAAGGCGGGGATGTCTCTGTATGGTTTAAAGATAGGCGGGTCTGTTGTATTCAGCGCGTATGAGAGCTCTGCAGATGCGACAGTCACTCCTTGCATACGAGCAAATGCGACGTATTGCTGGGCGTTACCATCGGATGTTGCGCCACGGGCGACACTTGTGAAAGCACTGACGACCTCCGGGAGTCGAGCTTGCTCAAAGGCGCGCGTAGTCCCGCGCATTGTCGAACTCGGGATTGTATACAAGTTGAACTTGGTAACGAGACCAAGGTTATTGCCTCCGCCGCGGAGAGCCCAGTAGAGGTCTGAAAAGTGATTTGCGCTAGCAGTCACAATCCGGCCACTGGCTGTCACGACCTGTGTCTTGTAAGTATGTGCTGTTCACTATAAGGAGCAAAGGAAAAGGAAAATAAAGTAAAAGAGCTCACCTCAAAGCTTTCCACATTATCCAAAGCCAAACCATATAAGTTTGAGTGAAAGGCAATGCCACCGCCAGTAACAAAACCTCCCACACCGAGCTACTCTCACGACCGCCGACAACGGCCAACCCATACGGTTCGAGTGCCTTATAAACTTGGCCCCAGAGGTTCCCTGGCCCGATGGATGCGACCGAACGATCATCATTCAGGCTTACATCATTCATGTCAGTGAACCAGATGGTAATTCCCCCCGGGCTGCTGGACGCGCCCCGGAAAGCGGCGTGACCGCCGCTCTTGGCCGCGAACGGACACCTGGTTAGCCGAGATACCAACACAACAATGGCAACATCTTTGTTGATACCAGGCTTGAAAATACAAGATGGGCGAACTTCTGCCTGCTGGTTAGACCAGAAAGAGTCCGTAAAACTAGTATAGCTTGCATTCTCCCGAGCTAGGACTTTCTCGGAGCCAAAGATGGAGTCGAGGCTAGCGCACTATTGCCGTGTTAGATACGCTGGATTGTTTAGGAACGGATGTGTTTATGGATGGAAACCAACAGCTGCAAGACAAGACGATTCTATTGATCGCTGTGCCAAATTTGTCAGGGCAGGTAAACTGGATATCTCAACGCCATAATCTTTTAACGCTGCAGTGACGTTGAAGTTGGCCGGCTCAAAGCTGCTATCGGCCTGCACTAGAGCAGTGCCACTAGCAACGAGCCAGGCGCCTATGAAAGAAAGCGTGCGTATCATCAAGCCAAATAAATCACTGTATGAAAAAGAAACTCCAAGGTCAAGGTTTAAAAAGAGTGAACTCAATGTGTGAAGGGGCTTATATATCTTGAGACCGTATCAACAAGAAAATCGTCTGATATAGCAATGAGTCCCATTGACAGAGGAGAATGAATTGAATCTATAAATATTCCAAATTGTGTGGATCTGCCCATCCACCACCGAATGTTCCTGTTGCTGAAGGATGACGGCGCAGAAAGAATGCAACGCTGCACGCAACCTGGCCCCATCTGCCACGTTTTGATCAAACTAGTCTGCATGAGCTTGCACTAATCATTTAGTAAACCACATTGGTTTTCTATCTTGCAGACAGTATGCCTCGGTAGATGACATATGATATGCCGCTTCGTATCATCTTGCAATTTTTGCAGTATGACTTTGGTATGTTCATTAACCGAGAATCCTCGCTTAAACCAAAGGAATTAGTTCTTACTCAGACCCATTCCAATTTAAACCTAGTCTATATTGGCCCCCAAATAATTATGGGTGAGGCCCCTGCTAATCATCTATACTAATGTTTTCTAGAAGAATTTTCCCTGCTCCCTCAACTGACACTTGGTATGGTTTCACCAGCCATGCATGACAATTAGTGCTTATGCTAATCAAATCCACGGGGCCCCGTGCGCCATGGCTTGCCGCTATTTGCTTTACAACCCCACATATCCTACGCGACAAGAGAGTACAGGACTATGCTAAAAGGGTTAGTGTAAAAGGCCAGATTGTTCCTCACCGGAACTGTTGTAGCAGAAAAATGCGGGTTGGTTTGCTACATTGTGAAGAAAAGGTCTTTCATGACTCCGACCTTTATGAATTGGTATCTTCCTGGGAAACCTGAAACAACTGTATCCCGTTGTGAGAGGGCAATGTTGCACTTCAGTTACGATCAAAGGTTGTACCGGACGGCTGGGAAGGTCTCTGGACGCTTTTAATCGGCCTGAGCTATTGATTTTCGTACCAACTGAAAGATTATCAAACAATAGAATGACCATGCAAGCCATCAATAGGCACAGCTGCGCCGGAGGAATGCTTTGCATTCTCGGTGCTTACTTTGTTAACCAGAGGAGGAAATCTTTGATTCGAATTACTCTGAGCCACATACATGACTTTGTAAACTCAACTATGAAATAGTATTATATATAATATGTCCATTCTACCACTACTTGTTAGCATCCGCAGCGTGTTGGAAATTACGACGCGACATTAACATGGAGCATACTAGGGCATAGTCCGCCCACATGACCACTCTTCTATATCTCTGTCTTTCGACTGTCGTTGAAAGACATCCTTTGAAGGCTTCATTCAAGGAACATACTACCTTTTATTGGATTCCAACACTAACCCCACAGTGATCGAATATAAGAACATGCTCCTCTCAACCAACATAAATCAGCCCTGCACCAACCCCGCAATAACCATCTGTCCCCAAAAATACAGTCCATACCCAAAAGTACTCTGAATCCAACCACGGCTTCCAGGAGATTTCTTAAACGCATCCTTCGCGACATAAACGTCGCTAGCAACGAACATCGCCGCGCCGAACACTCGCTGATATTGCCAGCGGGACGAAACATCTACCGGGGTTGTCGAAGCCGCTGTGGCAAACATCACGCTGATGATGGTAGCATATACCAGGACCAATGGTTTCATATCTGCAGGAAGGGCGAGATCCAGCACATTACTCGCAGCCGAGGAATCCGGCGGAGGATAGATTACGCCAAGCCATTTTGCGACCGCCATAGTCGCGAGGAATGTTGTTGCGAAGGTTCCCCACGAGATCACCTCATTATCCTGGAAAAAGGCCAGAATATAGGCTATATGAGCTGCTGCAAAGGCGACAACACCCAGCTGGAAGGAGACGGAGATTTTCTTTTCCTGTTGGGGATTGGAGTTCGCATTGTGGAACTCGCTTCGCGAGGGGATTAAGAAAAAGTCTCCCGCTAGGGAGAAAAGAAGGCCGGCAGTGATGAGAGAGCGAGTGGAAGACCACTCCCCC